CGGGGGCTAAACTGGGGGGCTCGCTGGCCCGGGGCCACGGTCTGGCAGAAAGAAGCTCACGTTTTGGGAGGACTGGCTAGAGCAGCGGGTATCCAGTCGCTTTTCACTCCCTGCGCCGTGCGCGCAGGCGGTGGGACACGTTGCCCGCTCGCGCTTCCCGCGACCGACCCGCCGTTGCTCGGGTGCGAAGTGCGGTTGCCGTCCCAACCGAGGAGGCTGGTTAAAAATAGGCCTGACGCAATGCAGCCTTCAGGTGTGTGCGTTCGCATTCCTGCCGAACTCGAGTTAACGAATCAGGACGAACAGTAGAAGGATCCCAGCGAATGACCAAGCTCAGGATACGATTAGATCATTGTCCCTGCCTGTGGCGTAGCCAGGAATTTATTTCGGCGAGGGGGAGGGGGGGGGGGGGGGCATACACTGAGGTACCTGAGTTGTTTATGACTTCGGGTACGGGGGAGAAGGGGGGAGGGGAGGGTCTAAATGCATGCTTATTTTATAGGGTCGGCTGGATTTTGGGGGAGAGGGCTGAAGTCTACGCTACTGGTCCTTACCAATGATCTCTCCTGCTCACAACGCATTTGATATATCTAATCACCTTCTGAGCTTCGTCACTCGCTGGGATCCTTCCATTTTTCGCCACAGATGTGTTCAACCAAAAAGTGAACTCGCATTTGTTTCCCCCCCTTTTTTTAGAGTGTTTGCGCGATTGGTTGCTTTTCTTTCGGGATGGAGGCTATTGGGTGTCACAACGAATGAGATAACCGTATGTCTCTCTAACTTTTCATAGGTTAACGAAACACGTGATGTGAGCGCTGGAAGTTGCTTGTATTTAAGAAAACAAGGTCTTGCCAATTCGGTTGACCCGGCTATGGTCACCGACAATATCCTCGTTACATGGGTCCACTTAACTGCAGTTACGGTTAAACGCAGGTACCACGCTAGTTTTGCGGACAACACTGCGGCTATGCAGTCAAAGCTATGGACGCACGTGCACTTGGGCATCTTGAGCGCCCATTAAGGCTGTGTACGCGCACTCTTCACTTCTGAAATATTTGTCCAAGAGTATAGTAACTGGTGAAGCGTAACCGTAGTTAAGGGAGGCTTAATTGCGGTCAAGGGTGACTGTGTAACAAGGGTGCGAGAAAGGTGCAGAATGTTTTTTTTTTTTAGGTCTCGAGATATTCTTAGCCTTGTAACCCGTAGGTTGCAGCGATCGGCTTTCCCAAGTGCTTTGCGGGAAGTAGACCTTACCATCGCTTATCACCCGGGCGAAAAATGCTGATTCATTTAGCTGTGAACGCATGCGCAGCATCTGGTATACCGCACAGCAGAGCAACAGCGCAGACAAAGATGGCAACGCGCAGAAGGCGATTTTTGCAAAGGTCTATACTAGCTCTAGACTTCGAGTATAGGATCATCTTGTAAGTAGCCTTTTGTACTATTTCTGAATGCGCACATGTCATCGGTTTCCAAACGAGGCTCCTACAACGCGGTGAGACAAGTGGCAGGTGCACCTTCGGCCGGGACACACGCACTAACAATCCTGCAAACGCACGCAGGCACAGCGGAGGGAGTGCTTTTTGAAGGCACAGAGTGCGCAGTTGAGTTTGTCCTAGGTCACCGTCGGGCCCCACATGTGGTGCTATAAAAGCCCGCTGCTGAAACGAAGTTCTGTCAGACTCAAACCTCGAAGGCGCAAATAATCAAAAAAGAAGAGCAGCTCCTTTCCCCCCACGCTGGCCACGCGCCAAGTCGTCCCTCTGTTTTGGCGTCCCTTTATATAGCTGACCCCAAACTTCCTTCATTATTGTTATCCGTCGGGTAGGTGTGCAAACACAGTTAATGCATTTAAGAGGATTTGTTTACTATGCTACACTTGGTCTTCCCTGCTTCTTGGTATATTTGGGGAGCATTCTACGTTCGAGCACAACGAGTAGCGCCAAATCCGTTGAATAAAAGGGAATATTTAGTTTTGAAAATACGTTTTAAATAATACCCGGTTATAAGCACAACGCGACAAAACAGTGTTAATAATTTATTTAAAACCTCCAAATATAAGCCATTGTTGCTGCTGTAAAGAGCCGCACTACAATTCATTTTACTCAAATTTGAGGCGCAACGGAGGGTACGGGAACGAGGTGGAAAAGTCTTGGAACGCGTTGATCATACTTGATACTAAAGGCCCCCAGTGCTATCGTAGAAAAACAAAACAAATCATGTATTCCTCCGTAGACTTCCTGCGCTGCCCAGGGGGCGCTGCGAAAAGCGGCTTCTTTATAGGTAACGGGTAGTACAAACTTGCGCGTCTCAAACTGTTCCACATGTGGAAGTGTGCCTGCTCTGGTGCGGGACGCCATCACGGGGAGAGTACAAAGAAACAGCAAGAAATCGAACGCCGCCTTAGCACAGGTCAAAGCTATAACGCTAATTCCCGAGTCCCTTTAGAGCGAAAAACAGGAACAAGCGACATCGAGAAGCCTGAAACACGTGCAGCATGTACGCTAAGGTATCTTTGGCAGGCTTGCAATCACTCGTGCTTACTTCACGAGCACCGAGAGACTACAAGCCTGCCAAACGTACCATCGAGTGAATGCTGCACGTGTTTCAGGCTTGTCGGTGTCGCTTGTTTCTGTTTCTCGCTCTAGAGGGACTTTTCACGTGTCCCAAAGCAAAAAACAACAACAAAAAAAAACAACAAACAAACAGAGAAAGAAAGAAAGAAAGAAAGAAGGAAAGGAAGAAATAGAAGCGTTGCGACTCCACTTATTTTAACGTCACCACCCAGAGATAGAGTGACCTTACCCAGAGGTGGGAGGCGCGTACCCTAGCGGTGGTGGCATAAATTCTGCACTTTCGATTGTTCGACTGCTTGGAATCTAGCCAGTTTTCGACTTCGCAAGGTGTTTTTCCGTTCTTCGGCTCTACAAAATATGGAAAAAGAAAGCTTAGCGAGGGTGCCACAAGTAGTACGGGGCCGCAGCTTGTACTACCCAAAGAGAGGATGCCACAGTTTGTTCAAAGCTCCAACGCAGAAGGCCTGTACGGGTAGAAATTTAGGGAGAGGAGAAGGTGAGAGCACGCGGGGACGTCGGAGCACCGAGCTCTGGTCTGAAGGATAAGTTGGTAGACACAAAGCTAGCTGCTTTTGTCTCTACTCGCTGTTCAAACGCGAACGCCCAACGCCGGACGCAGGCGTTTGGCGTTCAAACGCGTTCGAACATTGAGTAGAGAAAAAGTCAGGTTGGTTCGCGTCTATCCACTAATCATTCCAACCACACCCTAAAAAAAAAAAAAAAAAAGCCCGTGCGTCTACTTTCCCGCACAACACTCGGAGAGCCAATCACAGCAACTTATAGGGGCAGCTCAGCGAATGACGGTGACAAAACCTATGTTTAGACAAAAAAAAAAAAAAAAAAGCGGTCTGAGTTGTGACCTTAAGCAATGCAAGCGTGACGTTTTGCATTGCTTAATGTCACAACTCAGACTGCGGTTTTTGGTCTAAACATATGTTTCGGCATCGTTATTCGCTGAGCTGCCTCTGTAAGTTGCGGTGATTGGCTCTCCAAGTGTTGTGCGGGGAAGTAGACGCACGGGCTTTCTTTAGAGCTCCGTGTTCTGACGCCCTTCAGTTCCTCGCCTCATAAAGGGAGAAACGCTGTTGTCCCCTGTGTTCCTTTAGAAACAGAGCAAAGCTCGTTCCTGCGAACGAGGAGCCGCGATTTAACAAAAAAATAGAGTTTTTGGACAAACATACCTCGCACCAAAAGAGCGTGGCGCACGCACCGGTAGGAGCGCCCGCGGCTGGATCACACGGTGGCGGTACTTGAATAAGCCAGAGCCGTATACAGAGAGAGTTTGGCCATTTATTGGGAAGTATAGAAAGCAAATGAGGCGGCGCCATTGGCCAAAAGCGGGCTGGGCGTGTTCCAGGGCGTCTTCACAAATTGGAATGTGGCCGACCAGAAGCCGGAAGTAATACCCTGGTGGTGGTCGCGAGAAACGAAATTAATAAGTGCGTCGGAGTGGCTCTCGGTGACGGACAATATGGTGCACGTGATGTTTCAATCATGGTCATTCAAAATCATAATGGAAGAGCGCGCTTAGCGGAGCGATCGACATAATCCGTACGCCAGGCGCCGAGGGCAGGGAATCTGCTCTCTGAGCTGTCACACTCCGTCCGAGCAAAACAGAGTTCGAGGGCACATTCGTTTCTTACATCTTTTTGCATGATCATAATCAAAACATCACGTGCACGCTTTTTTCAACCACGAATGGATACTACATTTGACTCTTACGCACTATTAAAACCATATACTTATGATTAAAACTGTTTCTCGCTACCACCGCTAGGGGAATCTTTTCGGCTTCTGGTTGGTCAAAAGAGCATGTCAAGCCCTCTTTCTGCGTCTGGAGCACGCCCTGGCTCTGCCCGCGCCTCCCATTAACCAACCTCTTTTTATACACGGCTCTTGGATAAGCCAGGATATCCAGCGCTTTATACACTGCCTTACCCCGAGAGTGCAATCGCTCTCGTGGAGGGTCTAACAAGCTACCTGCAGACGATAGTTACGTTGATTAAAGTATGATAAGAGCTACAGTTCAGACCAACATTCCAACATGACTATCCGTAGGCCGATCGATTGCGCTGTAATTGCTCAAGCGGTTTCCTTAAACTCTCTCATCTAAAAGACGATGAAAACCCCGGAGTAGCAGTTTTTATTCACTGACTGAATATTCAATCTACAGCGAGTAACAGTGTCGCCATACTGGGACAGATCAACGTCACGTGTCTATGCATCTAACATCTAATTTGGTTTTATGCTTCGCTTTTTAATGAGTTAGCGCGAAAAAACGCCCAGATGACTCGCCTGAAAGAACGAATAAACAAACTCAAGCATTGAAACTCTAGAGAACCCGAGCCGAACATGAAAGGTGCACGCACCTTCTGGCGAGCCTGTCTGGGCCCGCTACAGGTCTGCCTTCGTGCCTCGCTACAGGTGGGGGCCTCCCAATGCGAGCCCACCGACGTTCGAGCCAATCACACAAGGCGGCGGGCTGCTGTACGAGGGCTCCGATGCCAAGTTCCAGGTTCAGGTGCACGGAAACCCGGCACCGGAGGTGGTGTTCACACGACGGGGCATGCCGCTGCGCAACGACCCCAGGCGGCAGGTGACCTACGACCCCGCCACGGGCCTCTGCTGTCTGATTATCCGCAACCTGACGGCCGAAGATGACGGCGACTACAACTGCAGCGCCGTCAACTGCGTGGGCGAGGCTTCGCTGACGCTTACCATTCGTGGTGAGAGGCCCGCTTTGCTCAGCGCGCATATATGCAGTGCCACACTTTGGCGCCTTTGGAAGTCACGCATATCACGCGATGTCCACCTTCAATAAACCAAATCGCTCGTGTGTTTCTGCCCCCCTCCCCCCCCTTTTTTTTTATAGAAGAATCGCAAGGAGTACAAGTTCGTCTGCTCCTTGCGCAGGGGTTACGATCATGTCAGAACGTCGAGCTCTTGTTGGCTGATTGAAAAAATAAAAAATGGTAGAAAGACGTCAAGGCATCTAGCATTGAGGTCTGCCCACTATCCTTCCAATCAAAGTCAATCAGAACTCGGCGTCGTTCTGACGTCACCGCAACCGCTGCGAAGAAGCAGACGACTTGCTCTCCGCACAGCCTCGACTACGGTCAGACTTAAAGTGAAACTAAGCCACTGTAGTGAAACGAAATACAGTACCAAGGTATATAAATTAATAATGTTCAGCCGTCGGTTCTCAATCTTAGTTTAGTAAATACTACAGTGAAGAAGCATGATGCGAGACACATTCTCGACCAAGGAAAAAACAAAACATCGTAACAGTTAGTGTGACATAGAGTTCCTTTATTTGTTTATTCATATTCAAGTTATCCTGCAGCACCAACGGATATTATTGCGGGAGGGTAAGTCAAAGTACACGATAGTTTTGCAGTAAATATATTCTGCACAGTCACACACCCAGGCCCAATTGAAATTGATGTATTTAGTATCTGTCCGTTGCGTTGACGGCAGAGCATTGCAGGCAGTTCCCGAACGTTCGAACTACCTATGACTATATATACTGCAGTGAATATTGTAATGGCTGCCTTAGTACCCCTGTTTATTACCTGATGCGATTGATGAGCGAATGACGAAAGCCTTCTGTATTCATTGATTGACAGCCGCCGCAGCAGCTGTGATGCGTGGCCAGATGCAACAGATGACCACAGTTCAAAGGACGCAGGTCGTGGATTCCAGGATGCACCTGCAAGACGGCACTTCGCCGATCCAATACTTTGCCGGCCATGACCAGGTGAGACGTCGAATGCATTTCCTACGATCGGCCACAGATCAAGAAACGCAGGTCGTGACGAATTATATTGCCCGTGCTCGGACATGCGATCTTGCATTCTACAGTTCTATGCCCGTAACATAGCATTACATACCGCCGTGTATGCACATACTGATAATGGGATAGCTGAGGTCGGCCAGAAGCGGCATCCCTTCGTGTCGAAGGGCGCCTATTACAGTCATAACTAAGGTTCCGTGTTTTCGTTATACACCCATATACCCCGAAAGATAACGGTCAGGCCAGTTTTTTCAACATTGGGGGAAAAAACAAAACAACAAAAGCAACAACAACAACACGAATCTATAATGTCCTAGAATAAGAAAAACTCAAGATTAAGAGGAAAATATTTATACACAGCGCTTTTTTTTCTCTTTTTTATTGACTCCGAACACCACCCCCATTGCACAGCCCACGAGGCTGCCTCTTTCTTGGGGAACCACCACCTCTTTGCTCCTTTCTCTTTCGGTACCGGGACGTTTTATTCAGTATCCGGCTCACGGCCACCTTCCTTGCAGCCTGAGCAATTCCGTGATCCCTTCCTGTTTTTTTTTTTTTTTAACATGAGCTCTAATAAACGCCGATCTTTGGTCTGACACCAAAAAATGGACACCTAACACCACGCAACCCAAGGAAAACAGAACCACTCCCCGTACTTGACGAAAGATAAACTCCAAAAATACCGAATCCCAGTCATAACCCTTAGTTTGAGGAAAGCCCTTGTAGGAGTTATTTTCGGGCACTCGTTTTAGAGAGCTACAAACCGAACGAAATGGGAATTAGGATGCTGTCCGCGCTGCATTCGTATATCACTCAATGAACCTTTTAAGAAATGTCGAGAGCCCGCCGAGGTCAAGTTCGAAAAGTTGCGGAAATTATGAACGTCGTTATGATTCCAATTTGAAAAGTTCGTAACTTTCGATCGCCGCGTATCGAGGTTAGAAATCGAAAAGTTCGAATATGTCAAAGTTTCTGAAAGTCCGGATTCGAATATTCCAAATTTCTTTGACATGTAAGTTCAAAAGATACGAATATTTTCTACGTGTTTGAATCTCACGGAACAAGTTCGAATTCCGCAGTTTCGAATAAACTTCCTGCGAATTCATCTAGAAAAATTGTGAAAAGTATAATAATTTCACTGAAAGTGTTGCACATTTCATTTATGCCGTAACGATTCCTCCCTTTCAGTACTGTGAAACTTACGATACTACTCGTGATTTGTCGTGACTCGTGAAACGAGCGTTGAACTGGTTGAACGGTTCAGCGAAAAGTTCGGCGAAAGTCCAGAATTTCTCTTGGCAAACTGGCAGCAATCCGATTGGACGGCTTGTAAATGCCATGTTGATATGAAATAACAAAATATACAAGACGACGCATGCGCGTACATAAAGGCACCCAGGCAAGACATTTCGCTTTACGAAAGCTTTGAGTTGCTCTGGGCGTTCATTTCCGGTGGGATGGCCCGCGGGATGGAGAAAACGACGCAGGTACAGCACCCGATACACCTCAAGGTCGAGGAACACGCGACCAGACACACCCCGAGAATACAGCTGATACGACCGGTCGTACATCGGGCTCATCCCATCGTCGGTTTCTTGCGTTTTTCTTGTTCGCGTGGACTTGTTCGTTTGAAAGCAGCGTTCGACGAATCATAATGGAGCAAGCGCGGATTCAGCGTCTTCTGTGCGCGCCCCTTCGCGGGGCCAGCCGCTTGCACGAGAGAATCATGGGGCTTATGTTCAGAAACAACTAAGGTTATGAACGACACCACAGCGACGCGCCTCGGTCGGTTTTTAAACCTGCCGACCAGGGATTCGTTGGCCCACAGGAAAGGCTCTGAGAGAAAGCCGGAGAAAACAATCAGGGTATGAGGTGACCGAGGCCATCCCTCAACACAAAGCAAAGCTCGTTCCACCACCTATAGGATCGCCTAAGTGAAGCTTCGGTGCAATATTTCCATTCATATCTTTGTTTTATTTCTATTTGTTCATTTAAACCTCCTTTGACGTAGATTTGGTTCGGAGTTGGTCAAACGTTTGTTCAGAAGCTCGAAAATGGTTGAGTTTCAACTTCGCAGGTGGGCAAGTTTGAAAATTGTTCAATCCCGTAACGCGATAAGTTGGAAAGATGGAAATTAATCGAATTTATTAGCGCAAAAAATTCAAAAGTTCAAAAATTGGCGGTATATATATATATATATATATATATATATATATATATATTGTGAACGAAGAGTGATTATTGAATTTATTGCATTAATGTTAGGGAAAGGGAAAGAGAGCTGCCCGAAAAATAGGGCCAGGAGCGTGGATCAAATGCGCAACCTTCGCCTATCTGGACGGCGCCTTAACCAATTAGACCATCCCGGCCACCGGTTTTTGGCGGACTCCATCTTTGACCAGCTCTCAGTGTGTACTGTTAGTTTCGAATTATATATATATACATATATATATATATATTATATATATTTTTGCGTAACAATTAAAAAAAAATTAAACGTATTGTACTTTTCGAACACCTTGGTTCGATCTCCGACCCTCAGGTTTGAAAAAAAGTTCACGGCATCTCTCGACGTTATTTTCGAGGCCCCGACAGAACAGAAATTAAGACGTCACACTTGAGGGTCCCGGCGGTTGTGTTCTTGCCTATTCATCCTTCTAGCTTGGCAATTATCTGTTTTTCATTCCACACGTGCAATTCCCCATTATATGATGGTCTTATTGCTCAGTATTGATTGAGACATTGTAGCAGGGCACAAGCTGTGTGTCATTCTGATGTCCAGTTAGCATACGGTCTTTTACGCGTGAGATGTTACGTCTTTTATCGCCTATAGAACTTGTTCCCCACTAAACGTTGTTCACCAATCGACTACTGGCCCGCTTACATAGTGGCGGCGGGGCCAAGTGTAAGCAGGACACCAGTTGGCTGATAAACAACTTTTGTTTTGTATTGATAAGAAAGGATTGTTTAGGGAGAGGGACTGAATTAAGCCCCTTGGTATGATACCAGTCTCACTCGCAGATATAAGGCATAGTACTTCCGCGGCACTTAATGTCCCTGAAGCGTCAGGAATATACTTTCTGACTCAAACATTTGGGAAAAGATTCGAACTTTATTAAGAGGGCATATGAGCCGCCTGCGCCAAATGAACTTTAATTGGGAAAGGTTAAGTGTGGAACTCCCGAAGAAAAACAACCTGATACTTTACTTCTTTTTATCAGGGAAAGAGGACAGCCTTGTTGAGCCTTTAAGGGTGCAATAAATATGTACTGCCTGGGCCTTTAAGGGTGGAATAAATAAATATTTTATTCGGAAAATTGTTATGCCATTTACAGGAACTTAACTTTATTACGGAGAACATCAACATTTGTGAAAAGAGAATTGTAACTCATTATTAAACATTTGTTTACTCTTGTTTAGAAGAATACGTGTGCTAGTTTAAGGGCTGTAAGATTAAAACAAGTGGTAAAGAACCGTTTAGCTGGTATTTATCTTCAGGCCCAATTCTAATCGCCTTCCTTAAACCCGCAGTCCTTCAGAGTGGACACATTCGAGTACCGCCTGCTCCGAGAGGTCGAGTTCCGGGATTCCTTACTGGGGCCCGAGCAGCCTGAGCCTGCCGTTCCAGGAGTGCCAATTAGCGCGCCCCAGATCCAGCAACGACCCCGCAACTCAAAGCTCCTCGAGGGTTCTGACGCCACCTTCACAGTTCGAATCGCCGGAAACCCCCCGGCGAAGGTAGGTAGACATATGGGAGGTGACACGAGTCGTCGTCCTTCCAGTTGCGTGGATCACACTATTAACTCATGTCTAATGGCATGTACAGGTGCACTGGTTCCGTAACGGTGAGAGACTGCAAGCCTCTCAGAGGGTGACCATGGAACAGCAAGGATCTACGTATATCTTGCGCGTACACATGGCTCTGCCGGAAGACGCCGGCTACTACACCGCCCTTGCGGAGAACTCACAGGGTCGCGTCGCCTGCTCTGCGCATCTGGTCATCGAAGCCATGCCCAAGGCGTAAGTGCAGCCTGTTAAAGATTGGCTGCCACGAATAAGGGGCCTTGTCAGTCATTGGTTTAAGCGTAATTTATTTTCTGTGGCAGGGAGGAGCCGCGGCAGCCAGATCCAGCGAGCTGCGTGACGACGGAGACGTCACGCACCCTGAAGCCCAACTTTGTAAAGATTCCCCAAGACCAGGAGGTAACCGAGGGCAAGATGGTTCGCTTCGATGTCCGCGTCACGGGACGTCCCTTCCCTGATGTCGCCTGGCTGCGAAACGGCCAGCCGGTCAACGACGACGCAACACACAAACTGCTAGTCAATGAAGGTGGACTGCACGCACTCATGATCACGTCCGCATCACGAGAGGACGCTGGCACGTGGACCTGCGTTGCCAACAACAAGAGTGGCGAGTGCCGCTTCGAGGTCCACCTGGTCGTGATCGAGAAGGAACAAGTGGTCGCTCCCAAGTTTGTGGAGCGCTTCCAGTCCCTCAGTGTCCACGAAGGCGAATCCGTGACGTTGCACTGTCGCGCCGTTGGCACGCCAACGCCACGCATCACCTGGCAGAAGGATGGCCGTCAGATCCACTCGCAGCCACCAGATCTCATAATCGGTAAGTGATTTGTAGCGGGAACTCCAGGAAGATGCAATTTAACGTGTACCGGTTGTGCCTACGCAGAAACGCAAGATGGAAGCTCGGCCCTGTACTTAAACCGCGCACGTGCGGATGATTCGGCATGGTACCAGTGCACAGCGCAGAACCAGGCCGGTTCCACAGCAACTAGAGCACGCCTCCATGTTAAATGTAGGTCGATTATTTGCAGTAAAGTTACAAAAACATTACAATTCATTCTATTCACCAATGCAGCCGAGCCCAAGACGCACAGCGAGCCATGGAAGCTGCACCTGCCCAAGCCTAGCAAAGTCATTCAGCCCGAGTAAGCAACACATTTTTTTTTCACCAAGCAAAGTACAAACGTAAAATGCGCCTATTCTTAAAACGTCCTTGTGATATGCAGGCGATCGCCACCCAGAGAGACAATCTGGTTGCGTCACGTAGAGCGCGCCTATCAACCGATCCGAAGCCAAGACGACGAGCGAGCACCACAGAAGCCAGCATTCACGACGCATCTGCAGAACCTAATGTTACATGAAGGTGAACGTGGCCACTTGGATGCCAGGTTGATTCCCATTGGAGATGAGACCATGGTTATCGAGTGGTTCTGCAATGGACGGGCCATCGAAGCTAGTAAGTGACTTTCTTCAAGCATTTTTCCCGTGAAGCGCAAGGCACACCATTCATGGCGCCTTCCGTACTGCTACAGGTTCCCGAGTCATGACCACGTACCGGTTTGGATATGTGGCACTGACCCTCTTGCACGTCTATCCTGAGGATTCTGGAGTTTACGTGTGCCGTGCCACCAACGAAGCCGGAGAGGCCACTACCACGGCAACACTGAGATGCACTGGTGAGGAAGCGCATGCGGAATAATAAACCATTAAGATTCTTCAGTATTTCTGCTGTGCATGGGTTGGGTTGATCTATATTGTTCTTTGTATTTATTGCGTTTCTCAGCACAACCGGCAATCGAGCGTAGGCCAATTCAAGAAGACAGTGTCAAAGCCATCCAGGAACTCGAAGATATGGAGAAATACTCGCGTCATCTCTCCATCGATGAGACTGCTTCTTTGACTAAACCCTGTTTCATCCGGCCATTGAGTAACAAAGATAACCTTCTTGAAGGTAAGGCATCTCTCGTCAAATTAATTTGTCGTTGTTTTCTAGCACTTAGAGGTTGTACGATACTAACGAATGTATTTTCCACCAGGTGGAAACTGTCATTTTGAGGCTCAACTGACACCTGTTAACGATCCTACCATGAAAGTGGAATGGTTCTTAAACGGCCAGCCGCTGACCACAGGCAAGCCTACTGTGTTTCTTCTGCGCTGGACATGTCCTCATGTATACGATTCATGTTTCTTGCAGGCTCTCGCATTAACTGCACTTTCAGCTTTGGCTACGTTGCCCTGAATATCATGTCTCTCCGGTGTGAGGATTCCGGGGTGTACATGTGCAGGGCCACGAACGCCAAGGGTGACGCTGTTTCTACAGCTACATTGAGAGTCAAAGGTGAGTTAAACCACCTACACTATTTTTTAAGAGTGACCACGTCCGACCGTTTTTAAACGAGTCAGTTACTTTCTAATAGAACGAAACCGTTCCTCATAGTTCCCGTTTCAATTTCTAGCGCAAGGCCTCGTGACAGGAGATCTTGGCATTCCGGAACAAGAAGCCTACATTAGGAGAACTCAAGAACTCGAGGCCTACCAACAAAGCCTGCACGCCCAAAAGGAAATATTTTTTGAGCCAGTTTCTACTGAGAAGCCCAATTTCAAAACCGGATTGAGAGATCAGTTGAACGTCAAAGAAAACAGCACTGTGCACTTCGAGGCCCGTCTAGAGCCCACAGGAGATTCGTCGATGCGCGTTGAATGGTTTAAGGACGGCCGAGCCTTAGAAGCAAGTAAGTATATTTTTTATTGCAGGGCTTAAAGAATGGCCACTAAAACCATTTTGTTTTCTCGTTAATCCCAGGTTCACGAACGACGACATTTTTTAACTTTGGCTACGTGTCGCTAACGATCCGAGGTGTCGACTCCCGTGACTCCGGCGTCTACACTTGCAAAGCAACCAATTCAGTTGGAACGGCTTCCACAGAAGCCCGTCTTGTTTGTCTTTGTAAGGATTAGGCATGCTAAAGGTGATGCTTGTCTGAAATTAATTATGGACCCTTTTGGTGCAGCTCAAGCGGCCGTAGTCAGAGAAACGCAGCACCCAGATGGACTGCAGAAAATACAGCATCTGGAAGACTCCTCGCACTACCAGCGTTCCCAGATGGAAGAGGTGAGTTCACGAAACAAGCAGAACGTTTCGACAAAGCTCGACCGCAATAACTTTTCCCAGGTGTCCATTACGCAAGCGCCCAAGTTCACTCAGCCCCTGCAAGGACCTACGACCATGTCGGAAAACCAAAGTTGCCACTTTGAAACCAGACTGGAGCCCATGGGAGACGCCGACATGAAGGTGGAATGGTAAGCGTTCAGTGGTTCTTCCCTGTCCTTTTACCATTATTAGGGTCAACAAAGCCACTCTTATTTTCCTCTAGGTTCCACAATGGTCGACCGCTTGCAACTGGGCACCGTTTCAAAACATATTTTGATTTTGGATATGTTGCCTTGGATATCCTTTATACATTCCCCGAAGACACCGGCGTTTTTGAGGTCCGCGCAACGAACCGCCTGGGTACAGATGTGCTCAGGAAGGAGGTCACTGTTCAGTGTAAGGACCCTTGTGCAGTGCTAAAAGCATCACCCTATGAAACACGCAAATAATGCCTCCATCTTTATTCACAGCAAAGGCCGCGGTTGACACAAGTACAATCCACGAGATGGGGATGGACAAAATTGAGTACTTGGAACGCTCTGGGGTGGATCACAGCGGTTATCATATCGAGGAAGTTTCACGCACAAAGCCGTACTTCAAGGTGAGTGTCACTTGTTATGTCTCCCTTCTACGAGACTGGCAACGTGAATGCCGCTGCTTATAGGTCTAAAGCATTATTTATGTGAGAGTGAAAACCTTCAGTGTTAGAAGTTGTTCTATCAAGTGTCAGAAAAGTGCAGATAAATACACTACGAGAAAATTATACGTATTTAAAAGAAAATTTTCTAAACGTTTGCTTAATACAATCAAAATTGAAAGAGGAAAGCACGAAGACGACGTCAGTTTAATTTGTTTGAAAATTAAAAGAAAACGCAATTGTGGTAAAAAAGTTTTCTCTACGAATCATAGCGTGAGTGCCTCCTCTCCTCCCAGGCGTGGTTTAAAATTGTAAACGACTTGAAAAACAGAAAAAATACAACTTAAGGCGCGACATTTCATGGCAGAAATCAAGATAAAATTTATTTCCACTTCAGGTACCGCTCAAAGACCCCAAAGGTCCCCTACGCGAGGGCGAGTCCGTCATCATGGAATGCGCCATCGAACCTGTACAAGATCCCACCATGAAAGTGGAATGGTTTTTTAATGGTCGCCCACTCCCCACCGGTGAGCACTTGGGATTATGCTATTCGTATGATGGCAGCTTTATTTTTCGAACCGCCCTAATGACGTCTGGAATGCCTTTCTATATTCGCAGGCCATAGATTTATCACTAGGTACGACTTCGGACGAGCATACCTACAGATTTTGAACCTGGTAGCAGAAGACACTGGACAGTACACGCTTCGCGCCACGAATCATCTTGGATCTGCGCACTCTACTTCGTGCATCAAAGTCATTGGTGAGTGGCACAGTATTGTGCAGCAGTGCCATATGACAGATTAGTATGAATAGGAAACGCCTTAAGGCAGTTGCTATTCAGGTTTCTATTCTCACCATCGCAGCCGAAATGGGAGCAACGTCCTATAGCTAGGTTAATGCGTGAGGGATAGAGATAAGGGAGCAAGCAAGGGGCACTTTCGTCGCCCAGCAGCTGCCAACATTGGCGTTCATTTCACAAAGAAAGGGCGACGTCGGCCCCGGGAACTTTGAAGCTCTAGTGCGACCACCTTTTTTATTATACTTGCGTATGGAACGCTCGTGATAGCCACGAACAAGTAAAACACGTGCTATACGTGCTAAACGCGACTGCCTTTTTTTCATTTTTTTAGCTATGTTTGGTTTTAGAGGAGGCTTCAAATCTGAGAAAGCTTTCAACTTATCGATACTTATTTGTTTCCGGATTTTATTATACTCATCCGCATTTGGTTCTGCATGTATTAGGTTGTTAGTTTTTGTAACAGACACTGAGTCTAACCTTAAGCTGTGCTATACGAGGAGACACAAATGCCTTTCTTGTTTCACGATAAAGACTAACTGAAAGCACGGGGTTAAGAATTTAGTACATATATAGAAGATTAATCACAAAGGTCAGTTTAACCCTCTGAGGCGCGTGAAAGTGAATATGTGTGCATGATAATAATAGCGTTCCCACGGAGCACTGACGGACAAAGTATCTATCCACTTTCCCATGAGAGCCGAGTCTGTCGGTTTTCCCTGGCAGAACTTGCAGTGCTGCCCACTGGAGCTGGCGTCCAGTGCGGCTACGCAACCAACGAGGTTTCTGCTTATTTTTGGTTTGTTTTCAGCTATGAGTAGAGAGGACCTGTCTTCTGCATTTGTTTCTTCCATTTCACTGGTCTAGAGTGCAATCACAGTTCATATTTGATGAGACATCATGTTTTGTTAACCTCGAACAGGAAAAAGTAAACAAAAACAAACAAACACTAGTAGAGCAACCGCAGTTTTTGAGAATGATATCTTACAAACAAGAGCACAGTAATATTATATTTAAGGTTGTGACATCCAGTCACGAGATGACAATGAGATTTTTACAGTTCTAAGGGACGGTGCATATTAGATTTTTTGAATTTAGATCGTATAAGAGCCGGATTGTACGTATATAATTTTAAGTATGTTGTGGTGGCCCACGCACCTACTTAACACATTAAAAAAAGAGCTAGTTTATTTTAGGCCACTTGGACAATAAAAAATAATTGACTCCTTGAAAGGTCATAAATCTTGTCCTTTCCGTCTGGAATTAGGCACTTACAAATTACACAGGTCAAATTTAATTTTAACTGTGGCTTGTTACGCAAAAAAAAAAAAAAAATTCGACCGTCATGTTTTGTTCGTTTTTTTAATATACAAGAAACAGCAGGTAATATTGTCCCGGAGACCAGAAAGTACTAACTGGTCCGTCTTGTCACCTTGACAGGCCGGTCTGGCGTTATCACAGAATCCCAGTACCCCGAAGGCTGGGAAAAGATCCAGCACCTAGAAGACCACTCGCGATACTCCCGTCAAGAGCACGAGGAAAGCGTAATCACGCAGAAGCCAACCTTCAGCCGTCCTCTGCACAACGTGGAAACCGTGGAAGGGGCCAACGTGCACCTGGAGTGTCGCCTGCAGCCGGTCGGGGATCCCACCATGCGGGTCGAGTGGTACCGCAACAGCGTGCCCATCAAAGTTGGTACGGAACCAATTCCCGCCCATTGCGGGTACTCAGGGTGGTACTCGCTCCCTTTAGCTCTAAACTTACACCTCAGCAAAGGTGACAGGCCCCAGGTCAAAACTATATATATATATATTTTAGTCTAGCCAAAATGTTATAATTTGTGCAGCACGTTTAAAAAGTACCTATTTATTCGGTGTGACGATTTCCAGCCTAATCAAAGGTTATAAAAAATCGGCTGAGTTTCCCTAACGACACGGCACTTTAGCCATCTTGGTGCTTCAAATGATTGTTGCCACTTGGCTGGAGCTTTATTTGACATGGCGGAAAACGCTTTTCCGTCTTCCAGAAATGGTCAAACAATCCGCGACACAGCAGCACGATATCGCAGGAGCTTCTTGACACCGTGTCAGAAGCTCAGAAAGTCGCACTTTCAAATTGCAACGATCGCCAGTTGCCCCAGCTCTGCAACAAATACCAAAATGGTGACGCTCACGAGAAAATTGGCGAATGGGGTGCCGATATTCTAAGCGTAGACTATTTAGTGACTCTTGTCTTAACTACGCTGCTAGGTCGTGCAGGGGAAGCAGCTTGCCCTGAGAGCTCTAGCTTCCAGTCATCACTTTTTTTCTATACATCTGTAAAGTGGATATTTCCTTACTGTGCAAGCTGTGCAATAAAATAACTGGTCTATGTTGTTCACTGCGGCACTCGATGTCAGGACTTGCAAACAATTTTAACCGCTTGTTGTTTTTTTTTTGGCAGGCCACCGATTTAGGCCAGCTCATGACTTTGACTACGTTGCCTTGGACATTCTGAGTTTCTATCCGGAGGATTCAGGGATCTACACGTGCAAAGCTACAAGTTCCCTCGGAGAAAATGTGACCTCTTGCAGCGTCAACTGCTTTGGTGAGCAATTCGCTTCCGTTGTGATTTCGCTTGAAACGAACAGGCGAATAAAACACGTTTCGAAATTAGCATGACGAATACATTTTTGTATTGAATTAAATAACCGGTGCTTGATTTTAGAAACCTGATATTTTGTGCCGACATACTGCTAAAACTTAAGCATTTACCGGGATTTCAGTGCCAACGCTGTAACGAATTTATACGTCTGGGAAAAGAGATTTGATATGCAGGAAACTAAACTTGAGCCCATCACTTGAGGCTAAAGAACAGCGTCTTGAAAAGTTTAGATTAGTAATATGTTCATGATACTGGAATAACATCACTCCACTATGCGAAAATAGGGGCCCCGGTTAAGAAATTGAAATACACGTAGCTTACTGCACAAATCAGAAACCTATATCTAAATCATATGCAACGATCTACTTAGAACGACCGGGCCGGATATTCGTAGCTTTGCTAATTTTCGATAGCCCTTTGGGTGAGAGTGGCAGCAACTAACCGACAGGTTCATTTATTATCGTCTTCAGCCAAGTCCCAGTTGATTCTCGAGTCTCAGCATCCAGAAGGACTACAAAAGATACAGCAACTAGAAGACCAATCCCGGTATCGTCGCGACACCTTTGAGGAGACGACTGTGAAGACCAAGCCAAGTTTTACATCCAATATGACGGCCCTGAGCCTCCGCGAGGGACAGAACGCTCACCTTGAGTGCAGGCTGGAGCCCGTGAACGACGCAGATCTCAGGGTGGAATGGTACCGCAACGGCGTGTCGCTGCCCATCGGTATGTCTCACAGCATAGCAGTCATGTAAGATACGAACGGCGCGCTTAGGTCTCTAATGCAAACCTTTGGTTCTTATTTGCTACGCTTAGGTCATAGGTACCGGCCCTTCCACGACTTTGGATATGTGGCACTCAACATTCTGTCTCTGGTACCAGAAGATTCTGGAACATATACCGTGCGAGCCACAAACTCCCTTGGCAAGGCAGAGCTGTCCACAACTGTCCTCGTCGAAGGTAAGACGTGGGTCACGAGTTCTGGTTCTGGCTGCCCATTTGATATTTAGATTGGGAATAATAAAGCGGGACACATGTGTTTCATTAATGTGCACCAACGTTCCGTTCGATTCGTTTTCGCAAGCATGCGAAGCTAGGAAAAAACCACGAGTTCGCGAATTATAGGGCGTGATTGATTTATTTCTGAGCTACTGCAGACGAAGTATTGTGTCATGCAGTGTCTTGTAATCACTGTAATAATTAGTTTCTTTAGAATAAATAACATTACTATTCCTACGTTTTTCTTCACATTTTAGTTCATTGTTTAAAAATGTGCTGCCTTGTCATGAATACATAACATAAATACACGCAATAAAAATAGGAATACGTGGCTCTAAAATAACCTGTTATTGTAACGCAGGAAAATCATCAATCGACACAGACACGCAGCACCCAGAAGGGCTGCAGAAAATTCAAGCACTAGAGGGTCACCGGTATGTATTAATATATATATTTATATAATAAATTCTAAGAATGATTTCTTACGATAACGTATTAACCAACAGACAGGAGAGAGACACAGGGGACCTTGACCAATCGGTAACGACAGCGCCAGTCTTCACCTCAGCTCCCAAGTCTATCGTGGTTGAGGAAGGACAAAAGGCACACCTTGAATGTCGTCTCATACCCGTGGGAGACCCTAAACTCAAGGTTGAGTGGTTCAGGAACGGTCAGCCAGTGCCGGCGGGATCTCGCTTTGTAGAGATGTGCAACTTTGGATTTGTGTCCCTGGATATCTTGGCAACGTACGCCGAGGACTCGGGAACTTATACCTGCAAGGCTACTAACCAACTTGGTGAAGCCGTCGTATCCGCCCAACTCAAGTGTGCTGGTCAGTATTACGCAAAATTATCATAAATATTAAGAAAAACATACACGAACAAAATTCGTGGACTTTAACCCAAATTATATTTTTCTCAGCTCAAAAGTCTCTCATACTCGAGACACAAAACCAAGAAGCCTACGACAAGATTCAACAATTAGAGGCGTACGGACAACAACCCAAGCCTGCCTTTGTAGAAGAGTTGACCACACAGGCGCCTGTATTTACTCAGCCTATGAATAATCTCAATCTCAAGGAAAACCAGAGCGCCCACTTCGAGTGCAAGCTAATTCCAGTTGGAGACCCTAACCTCCGCGTCGAGTGGTTCCACAACGGACTTCCTCTTCAGAAAGGTACGGTTGTCTTAGCCGCATACTCTTCAATATTTTTGTGACCGTCTGACTACTTGCAGCGTCCCGAGTGAATACCATTCACGACTTTGGATTCGTGGCCCTTGACCTGTCGTATGTGAAACCAGAAGATTCTGGAACCTACACCTGCAAGGCAACGAACTCGTTAGGCCAGGCAGTTTGTACGGCAACTCTTAATGTTCAAGGTAAGGTTACGTCACTGCTATTACGAAGCAGTAGGTGATAACAAACGTGTTTATACAGGTTCGAAGTCTCTGGTGCTCGATACACAACACCCAGAAGGTTTGCAGAAGATTCAGCAGCTAGAAGAACTTGGTCGCTACAAGGAAGAAGTCACACACGAGGCTCCTTGCACATCAGCCCCCATGTTCCTTACACCGCTCCAAGGTCCGAACCGACTTTCCGAAGGTCAAAGTGCGCACTTAGAGTGCCGCATCGCACCTTATCCGGACGCCACCATGAAGGTTCAGTGGTTCCACAACGGCGTGGAGCTGCAGACCGGTAAGCTGTTCTCGACCTCGCATTTCCAAGGCGTTTGTTACTCACGTGAGTCATGTTCTAGGTCACCGGTTCCGTACGATCTATGACTTCGGCTTCTGCGCACTGGACATCTTGACTGCAAACGCCGAACACTCCGGAGAGTATGTGGTTCAAGCTACTAACGCACTGGGTACAGCCAGGTCCACAGCCCATATCCACGTCGATGGTAAGAATCTTTTTTGTACATTAGCGGGACGGGAAGCTAATGGGGCTTTGCTTATTCTCACAGCCAAAGGAGGCGTCATCATCGAAAGTCAGCAGCCAGATGCTCTGCCGAAAATCCGTGAGCTAGAAGAATCATGCGGGTATATCCGGCCGGTGCAAGAAGAAACTATAATCAAGGACAAGCCAAACTTTGTGCGGGGTCTCTATAACTTGGATGCTATTCAAGAAGGCCAAAGCGCTCACCTCGAAGCCACTGTAACACCGACGAACGATGCCAATATGAAAATTCAGTGGTTCCACAACGGTGTCGAGATTCCTCTCGGTACGTGCCTCGCCGTTTTCTGAAGTTGCGATCGATCTCACGCATCTGCTTCCTTTTACAGGTCACAGGTTCAAGACTGTCTCTGACTTTGGCTTCGTGGCTTTGGATATTCTATATGCATACCCCGAGGACTCTGGCACGTACATGTGCAAGGCAACAAATAAGCTCGGAGAAGCTGTCACCACGTGTTCCATTCAGGTCTTAGGTACGAACCATAGATTATATGAGAGTCTTTTCCGAAAATATGATTATGACCATGAACACGCTTTGTAGTTTTACTTTTAAGCGTTGACAGTTTCTTTTAAGTGCATGGTGGATATTAACGCGTTTCGTATGATTATTCCAGGAAAGTCTGCTATTGTTACGGACACACTTCACGAAAAGGGACTCGAGAAGATCCGCCAGCTGGAAGAATATCGGGCGCCTGAGAAAGCTGAGCAAGTGATTCAGCTGCAAAGACCAGTGTTCACAGTTCCCCTGAACTCAGTCGATGGCCTTGTGGAAGGGCAGAGCGCACACCTTGAGTGCCGACTTGAGCCAATCAATGACCCTGACCTCAAGGTTCAGTGGTTTTTCAATGGTGTCGAGATCACACCAGGTGCGCTGAATAGTTGGCTTTGAGGGCTGAGAGTATAAAAAGGTTTTATTAGATATTTTAAAACTGTTCTTCCTCTTTTTTAGGGCATCGTTTCCGCACAACGCACGACTTTGGGTATGTGGCACTTGATGCCTTGTATGTGTACGCCGAAGATTCTGGCACGTACATGTGCAAAGCAACCAATAAGCTCGGCGAAGCGGTTACAACATGCAACGTTAGAGCTCAGGGTAAGTTTCTCCAAGTCAGAAATTAAATTTTGAGACTTGCAATTTGGGAGATTGGAGCATGCAATGGAAGTTCAGTCGTTACCTACAAACATGGGAATGTTGAATTATATGCGTTCCACTGGCTCTGTGGACATTTTTATGTATGGATTTCGAAGACGTGAAAACCACTTATGCACTAATAAAATAATTAAGGGCTCACTTCGTCGACTCTAACAACGTTTTTGAAATCTTGGAGTTTATGCAACTTGTATAGCTTGTATTCCTGGGTTCTGAAAAAACTTAGACTCTTGAGTATAGGCTTGTTAGCCTACACGTGTACACGTGCTAAATTTGTTTGCGTGTTTATATGCTGATTGTCTAGATAGACTCATGCCTATACAAATAGGCAAAGGCGATGTTGCAAGATTCACCATTATGTTTAGTTTAGACAACAACCATGTACACATCTGCAAGCTAAGAGTCATCACTTTGATTAGAAGTATGAAAAAAAGGGAAATTAAAAGCATAATAACCGACTAATAGTGGCTAAATTACAAGCGCAAAGAAAACAATCTTAAACATGTAGTCGCGACGTTCAAGGCAGTAGTTTTACGTAATTAATATTATAACTTTTTTTATCTTCTGTTTCCAGCCAAGCAGAAAATCTATTATGACACACATCACCCTGAAGGTCTTGAAAAAATCAGGGAATTAGAAAGCCAGGTCAAATATCAGGCTGTTGAAATTCAAGAGAAGCCAATATCCAAGCCTGTGTTCATAACTGAACTGCGAGGCTCACAAGAACTTTCCGAGGGTGATAACGGTCATTTGGAATGCCGTGTAAGTTTATTTTCGGGGGTGTTCTGGGATTGGTTATTTAAAAATGCAGATGCGCTCAAAGTCTTCTTTCACAGGTGGAACCAGCCCACGATCCCAAACTCAAGATTGAAATCCTGCATAACGGAAGACCGTTGACAGCAGGTAGAGCTAGCGTTCCTCATACTGAAGATTTTTGTCAATAAAACAGCCGACTTAATTCCCATGTTTTGTGGCGTTTCAGCTACTCGAGTGCACATAACAAGCGACTTCGGATACGTGGCAATAGACCTGAGTCACGCCATCCCAGAGGACTCCGGCACTTACACTGTCCGAGCAACCAACGATCTCGGAACTGCTGAGACAACCGCTACCCTTCGTGTCCTGCCTAAATCAGGAATCATTTCCGATACGCAGCACCCAGAAGGCAAGTTGAATAACGTGGCACACTGCTTATTTACAAAACGATTAAGGTACGCGGTGCACCTCAAATTAATATGTTGGTTTGCTGACTTCAACAGGCCTTGCCAAGATCCGACAGATGGAAGATGAAGCTCGGTTTAAGCCCGAGGTTATCCAGGAACCAGTTACCTTCCAGAGGCCAGTCTTTACAGTTCCCCTGAACAACCTTGATAACCTTGTTGAGGACCAGCGAAATGTTCATCTCGAGTGCAGACTCATTCCTGTGGGTGATCCGACCCTAAAGGTGGAGTGGTTCTTCAATGATACTCCGCTGATGGAAGGTAAGGCTCCACCATGATTGCGCGTCGTGCACGCTTATCTATCGGGCATTTCTAGGCCTTTCACATTTCGTGGCACCATAAGACAGAGCGTAGCCAACGCAACTAGCCGTTTGGGCCAATCTAACAACGCAACAAAAATTTAAAAAAAGTCATGGCGTTTGATGTCTTTGTGCGTTTGATATCACCGGTTAAATTGATCGAACGATATGAATGCGTCGGTGTTTGTATGTCTTCCATAGTCTCTGACAGGGTGTGACTTATGCTGCGCTTCTTGCTCTGTGATTCGTTCTTCGGCATCTTGAATGGTTGGCTGGCGAGCGATACTAAAATGCTCGGGACTGGGCCACGCTCTCTGATTCTTAAGTTGACAGTGACTACATGCTGGAAGAAGAAAGAGGTGTCTGAACGGGCGCACCCTTGCCATGGAACAAGTGTGGCGAAGGTTCCCTCGCATTTCTGACAGACACCGTGAGATGGCGTAACACGTCTGGGGGAGTAGGAGGCCGATGGAAGTCACTTGAGGAACACCGTACTTAATTGCGCACACGTTTACAAGCCCCTATGCGCCGCGCGGCGTACGCAGCCTTGTACGAAGGAGTATAATCTGACAGCGCCCCTGACGGGAGATGGGCTCAGCATGAGTAAATTTTGCCAACTTGACTGGTCTTGTTCAGACACCTCTATCTACGTCCACCGTTGCTGCGTTCTGACCTATACTTAAATAAAGCGCGATGGGTGGTACATAGTCGGATTATAAGATAGTGATGGCCGAGCCTTTGTGGTCTTCGCAAGGGTCTAGTGGCCAATTCTCTAACTGTTTTTTATAGAAGGACTGTGGAAATTTCCTTGTGACATGGGTATCGGGCACAACTTGGCTAAGATTTGCTCATATAAAAAGTTAAAATTTATCTCCGATTCGTTTGCTCACCGACTTGGCACGTGGTTGCAGGAACCCGGTTCCACCCTGTTCACGATTTCGGCTACGTTGCTCTGGATATGGACTACGTGCGACCCGAGGATACCGGTGTCTACACATGCAGGGCGACCAATTCCTTGGGTCAAGCTGTTACAACCTGCATGCTCAAAATAAGACGTAAGTGTTCGATAGATTAATCTCTGGAATCGTAGCTCTTATACGAACTTTCTCCTTTTAGCAAAGGCCTCCATCCTGCGGGACTCCCTGCAGCCGCAAGGCTACGAAAAGATTCGCCAAATGGAGGACTTGAAGGGCCAGAAAGCCCCAGAGAAACCCGATACTGTTTACGAAAAGCCTGTCTTTACGAGTCACCTGGTGGGTCCCGGAGAAATTAATGAAGGTCAGCCAGCACGATTGGAGTGCCGTTGTGTCCCCGTTGGAGACCCCGATCTCAAGTTCCACTGGTACGTCAACGGTGTGGAGCTTCCCAAAGGTGCGTATTCCGTTTGAATCTCCGGATATCTGCATTTGAAAGCGTCTTGTGTGCTTTTTTTTTTATTTGGATGCTTAGTTAGATAACACTGTGTTTAACGGACGCTGTAAAAAAGTATTCCATTAAGAAAGCAGATAAACACAGCAATGAGGGAAAATACCGCTCGACGAAAAATTGCTTCTAGTTTTGCAAAACAAATTTTTTTAAAACAAGAAGTACTTCAGGTGTTGAAGACCTATTTCGCTCTTCTGCATAACTTGACGTTCTTTTTGAAAGCGCTTTTAACAATAACTTTTTATTTTTATTAAAGTGATTTTACGGTGATATCCAGGAGCAAGATTTCGGGCTTGCCACATAGGAGGAGCTACATATAGTAATATGTGATATTTATTTTATTAAGAAATGCAACAATATGTGTGAAATTATATATGAGTATCAATACAAAACTCTACGCCAAATTTCTCAAGTATTCATGGCTGACCGTTGCGTGACGTCACATAGTGCAAGCTATCGCTAGGTTCGCGGGCGTTGTCTTTATCCTGTTTGCGATCAACCTGCTCGATGGTGCGTGCAAAGAACATCGTCGAAGAACAGAGTTTGCCTCAGTACCGTAGATAATCTTCATTAGAACAAAGTTATTTCACTCAGACAGCAGTCGTAATAAGACTCGGCGTCAAGAGCGCTTCGTCAGAATCGGATCGCATGAAATTAGTCATCTCGCTGCAGAGAGCTACCTTGGGATATCGCAAGCGGAAAGGAAAAAAATATCAACTGTGGGAGGAGTAAATACACCGCTTAATCGGCTAAATTAGCGCTTTAAACAGATGAACGAGAAGCTGGAGTAAAGCAGTCGAGAGCTCTCTTGGTGCTTTTGGTGTAAATTTGCATCAGAGCTTCCCCCGTTGCCAACAAAAGCGCCGTTTGTTTTGCCGGAGCAATCTAAGCAGTGGAGATTTTTTAAAGCGCATTTAGTTGTATGGAGGAAGATAAAAAAATATTCGGATACTGTGCGAAAGATATTCCTGAAGGCAACGGCAATATAATTTAATTGTTTTCTGGAAGACATTTTACCAGACAATTTCGCCGCCCCGAACAACGCTAGCATTCGCGCCCGAGACCACTGTCCGTCTGAAGGACCTCAAGGTTCGAAATACCAACATTCAAAGATCTATATTTTTTATTTTATTTTTATTATATTGCGTGCAGCAGAGACAGAGACAACGTACATAAAATAATGATGACTACGTTTGCTAAACCTTCTAGGTTCAAGACTGCTTGCGAATCAAGACTTTGGATTCGTGACACTAGACATCGTGTCCGGAATTGCGGAGGACTCTGGTGTCTACATGTGCAAGGCTGTCAACAAAGCGGGAGAGGCTGTCACTTCTACGTCGCTCCGGGTGAAAGGTATCATTTTAAAGTCCAACCTTTAAGGAATTAAACTTTTAGAAAAAGAACCACCCTGACAAGCTTTACGCGACTTACAAGTGAAACACATATAATTTATGGTGCCGACAATATGCTCCGGAGTACTCACTAGCTGTACCCCTTACTTCCAAGCCATTAAGATTGCCATCTTAACTTCGCCTTGTCATAATGGTGCCCGACGTTGAATAAACCTTCAAATTATAGAGAACTAACATTTTTCAAATTCATTAACTGAAGCCTAAGTTTGTGTTGATATTTTATTGTTTATAGATCCAGTGTATTTCTCACACTTCACACATTTCAGTGAGAGTGAAAGTTTGTTTTGCCTATTCTAATCCGCAGGTCGAGCCGGGGTCCTTCTGGATTCACATCATCCAGAGGCTTACAAACAGACACAGAAGTTTGAGTATGACTCCAGCCGCATTCCAGAAACCTGGAGTCAGGAAAAACCCAAAGTTCATCCAGTGTTTGTGCAGCATCTTAACAACATCGAAGGTGCTGTGGAAGGTCACTACATCCGAATCGAGGGCAGGATTGAGCCTACCAACGATGAGAAGCTGAAGGTCACGTGGTTTAAGAATGGAAAGACCCTGGTTATGGGTAAGTTCTTTTCTAAAATCAAGTCACCTTATTCATCGTCTGCTTTCTGTGTAATTCTAGGCTTCGTTGCTGTTCTAAAAGAAATTAATAGCACGACATCCGAACGTGCAAACTTTTGGCGTATCTCATGAGATGGCTTTACTTCGTTCAGGTACCAGAATCAAGCCAACATACGACTTTGGTTTGGTTTCGCTGGACATTTCGAGCGCCAGGCCAGATGATTCTGGCATCTACACCTGCAAGGCAACCAACGAAGTTGGCGAAGCCATCTCGACATGCACCATCAAAGTCGAAGGTAAAAAAAATAGAGTGTAATTGAGAAAGTTATGGCGCGCTTTTTTATGATATAGTGATAATTTGAGTTGCACCTTTCCGTAATTTTCTAGCGTCACAGTTGAAAAACAAATTGTTGACCAATTGAGTGCCAGTCCCAAGCTGTGGTGATTTATAAAGTGTGGCACATAATAGTCGCCTCAGACAATACGTGCGGACGTGATTGCGTATAATGTGCGCGAGTGTGTGGGGAGACATGAAAGGGGGGGGGGGGGGGGGTGCAAAATATGCGAACGCCCGGCATACAAAAGTTGTTAGAATCTTTCTCTTTTCTATACAATTTATAACCGAACTCGGTACACAAAAGTCAGTGCGGAGAGCAAGTCGTCTGCTTCTTGCGCAGGAGTTGCGGTGACGTCACAACGACGCCGAGCTCTGATTGGCTTTGATTGAAAGGATAGTGGGTAGCCCTCAAATGCTAATGCCTTGACGTCTACCCACTATTTTTTTCAATCAGCCAATAAGAGCTCGGCGTTGTTTTGACGTCACCGCAACTCCTGCACAAAAGGCAGACGACTTGCTCTCCGCACAGAACGCTAAAAAAAAAAAAAAATCGGTTGAAAAGCTTGATGTGATTAAAAAAGGGGATACATTTTTTTCGGACATTTATAGTTAGTCTTTATAGAAATCCCGTGGAAAGTGGTTAAATATTTTTTTGCGAGGGAAAGTTCCGTTCTAAAGCAAGAACTTCGAGCTGGCTGGCGCTTGCCGCCTCCGCTGCTCTGTCAGCGTAAGAATGAAATTACCGAACAGTTCGGTTCTGTTCGCCTCTTTCACGCATCCTGGCAGGGTGTTCCTATAGACGTTTCTTCTGTTTACAAAAATCACAGTCCGCACGTGCTAAATCACAGTCCAGTCACCACTCGCACGCAATTGCAGCCAGCCAAAAAGTGCGCGTGCATGATAGCACGCAAACACAGCAATCAACACGGCCTCATTAGCTTTTATGGAAAGGTGTATAGTCAAATCAGATAGAATCAAATAGTTTATTTTCCCTTTCAACAAAAATGAGGGGAGGCTGAAGAAAAAAGCTGATAAATCCGCTTGACATGGTCCTCCGCCACCCTACAGAAGCAGACGGCGATTCACTTCGAGTCACTTGATAAAATTCACGCTTTACCTTTCTTACAAGCACCGCCAACCATTGTACTAGCGCGCAAGACAAGTGCCACTAGAGAGTACTGCGCCGCTCTTCGCTTCCAATGGCTTCTCTTTTCAATGCTTCTCCGCCAATCGCTGCTAAGGGCATTTGACGCTACTTGCAAAACGAACAAAAACAAATCAAGGGGCTTTAATGGCCACTAAGAGGAAAAGAATGGCAGACATATCCTTCAGTTGTCCCGGCTCCGGTGCGAGCTTTCTACCTTCGATTACACCTCGGTGTCTTGTGTGCTTCCAGCGCGCAACCATAGTACGACGGAAAGCAATGAGCGAGTGCACGAGGCCGGGCCTCCGAAAGAGATGCCCTGCCATTCTCACTCTGCCAGTAAATAGAGTGCTTATGGTTTTACGTGGCGCTCGATTGCGGGAAGCCCTGAGCGAGCGCTACATCACGCTTGGCTCACCTCATGAGAAAGTAGCTCTTTTAAATTTCCTTAAGAAATTGCCACATGATTCCGTAAAGGCTGGTTAACAGAGCCCCGTATCCTAACGTTTCGTTACGTTACGTAAGCTTACATGTGCTTACGCCAGAAGTCACCGGGCAATTTTCGCTTTATGTTAAGCGTGGCTACCAGTTCAAAGATAGCTTGGCACGGGACATTCGATACACGAATGTTTAGGTGACTTAATACGTAACGTGATAAAACGTAAGAAAACGGTGCTGTCTGAACCGCAGCACAATAAAATGAACTCTTAAATCTGCTTCAACCCCACACAGACACAGACTGCAACAAGAACAAGGATATTTTTAGCAATAAAAATATATTTTATTTGTTTTTATTTAGGCATGGTCATACCAAGAATGCATAAGTAAAGAGGAAGAAAACAGCCGAATTTGGTCACGATGTCATGTTCAATGTATATATTTCAGGTCGGGAAAATATTATTCTCACTTCGCAACATCCTGATGCCCTTCCTAAACTACGACAACTGGAGGAATATGTGCGACCAGACACGTCAGTGCCAGAGCCAGACTACGAAGGGCCAGTGTTTGTCACCCATCTCAACAACTTGGAAATACGTGAAGGAGCGCCAGCCCATCTTGAGTGTCGCGTTGAGCCCTCTAAGGACCCAACACTTAAGGTCGAGTTCCTCAAGAACAACAAGCCATTACCAGCCGGTGAGTGCTGTCTTGTCTTCTTCTTGGTGCCCTACACAGGAGGCAGGGGCGAAGGGATTTTGGGTTCCACGTTCTTGCCTCCTCGATTTCGTCCCCAATCCTGAGCCTACAATTAGTCTCACACATGCTCCAAGGATATCTTGATAGCTGATGTGGTTTTGTTTTAGGAACCAAGTACAATGTCAACAATGACTTCGGATTTGTCACGCTGGACATCGGGCACACCTTCCCAGACGACTCTGGCATCTACACCTGTCGGGCACGCAACGCAAAAGGCGAAGCAGTTACCACGGGCTCTGTCAAAGTTCAAGGTTCGGGTTCTAGCATTTAATAAGTTATCGAAATATGTCAGCAGCTGCAGACAATGGCAGATTTGCAATGGTGTAACATATTTTCAGGGAAAAGCGGGGTGCTTTTGGACACCCTTCATCCAATGGGCCAGCAGGGACTCTCTAAAGTCCAAGAGCTGGAAACGGCTTACATGTCAAGATATGAGGTAAGCCTACTTCGATTATGTTGTTGCAAGCTTTAGGAATTACTAGCGCATAACGACGAAAGAGTGTCCTGAACAGTTCAGTTTCAAAAGGTGTCAATTTTTGTCTTTATAGCCACCTTCTGAAGAAGCCGAGAAGGTCTTCCCCCGTCCCGTGTTCGTGGTTCCTCTTGAGCCTAACTTCTCCGTGCAAGAAGGCAGTCCTCTAGCTCTCGAGTGCAAAGTGGAGCCTGCAGCGGACCCCAAACTCAAGGTTGAATGGTTCCTCAATGGCAAGCCACTGGCTCCCGGTGTGTGGTTACATCTTCCTCGTCCTTTTTATAAGATTTCCAAAACATTCAGCCACAGAACATACACTCCCGAAAGAACGCTTGCTACCAAAAACTGCAGATCCCAGTTTCTTGAAAGATATCATGTCGAGATAAAAAATAACAACGCATAAACTATCCCCCCTAAATTTCTTCACTTCGACGTTCATTCGGGACTCTTCGTGTATTTTTATATTTGAAAACACATTATCTCGAAGCAAGCGTCTTTTTACCATGCTATTCATGCCTGTATGTTTACATTTGTCCAGGATCAAGGTACACCGTGAGCCACGATTTCGGCTTTGTCGTGCTGGCTTTGACCGATTTCTGGGGAAGAGACGCTGGGGTGTATACTTGTCGAGCGAGCAACGACGCTGGAGAAGCCTTCACCACCACGACTATCACGTGTCTTAGTAAGTCTGCGTTGAGCTATTCGTGATCTTTAAGAAAACATGTCCATGATGCTTAAGTGATAGCCTAAATACAAATTCAACTCTGAAAGTATAAATCTGTATCGCAACACTGCGCATTGGCTGCGCTTCTACTGAGCGCCTCTATATGCTCTTCAGGCAAAAGGGGTGTCCAGGAAGACACCCTACATCCGGAGGGTCGCAAGGGCCTGGAGTCAATCCAGAATCTGGAAGACTCCCTCACGAGGGCTCCTGAAGTTCCTCAAGAAGACACTACCGGCCAGCCGCCGGTGTTCACGTCACAATTTGTCAACCTAAAGGACCTCAACGAAGGTGATATCGCTCACTTCGAGGCAACGTTGACGCCGGTCGGAGATCAGACGATGCAAGTGGAGTGGTTCTTCAGGGGAAAACCCCTCAAGGCTGGTGAGAAATCGTTCGCATTCCGGTACTTATGCTATTGAGCATCCGTAATTAATAAAGGAGCTGTGGTTTCAGGACATCGCATCAGGACGGTACATGCCTTCGGGATGGTAGTGCTCGAGATCCTAGGTGCCGTTGTGGAAGACTCTGGGCGATACACGTGTCGGGCCACCAACAAATGGGGCAAGGCCGAGGTGACAGTTGACTTGGAATGCACTGACAAGACCAAGGGCCAGCGACCACAGTTCACGACACAGCTGCAGAACCTGGTCGGGTTAAAGGTAATAAAATATAACATTAGTTTTGACACAGAGGAATGCATTGTTTGCAAACGAAGTTAACTGTCAGGCACACACAAATGAGAAAAAAAACTTTATAGCTTGTTCGTGTAGGATGTAAACGTGTTAGCTTTTACGTGCAGCGTTTTTGGTTAAGATTTTTTGTTAATGCGAGGGTTCCAAAATTCTGGTTATTAGAAAAATAGAAAAATTAAAATATCGAACTGGCAACAAAAGCATAATTTAAAAGCCCCCATAATACAAGTTTTGTTTTGTAAGTTTCGTGTTTACAATTTTTTGTGTTGTTTTGGGGGTGCCGTTGCTCACGTTGGGGGAGGCATAAATCTATTCTTGCACATCTGCAAAACTGAATAAATAAATAAATAAATACATAAATAATAAATGAGCAGAATATTTCAAAACCAACAATCTGCACATAATACCTGATACATCTTCACTGTTTTTCAATGGCTGCTTGTAGGAAGGAAACAGTGCTCATATGGAGTGCCATCTAATTCCCGTCGGAGACCCTGACATGAAAGTAGAATGGTACAGGAACTCCCAACCACTTCGGGATAGTAAGCATAATTCTTAGTACTGAATTTATGCTCAAATTCATTTCTGTGTACATTTGTGGTGACAAAACACCTCTTCATTATTTTGTTTTAGGTTCACGCATCAAAACGCTCAGCGACTTTGGTTATGTTGTGATGGACATCTCCTTCGTGCACGCCGAAGATTCCGGTGATTACGTATGTGTGGCAACCAACAAGTATGGCTCTGACGCCACGAAGTGTACCATCCAATGCGAGGGTAAGTGACACTTTAGCACCCTAAGACAAGTGTAAAGAGGCTGTTATGCGTTGCGAGGTGTACCAGCCTTTCGAAAGGTTTCAGGGATTGCATAACTTTTGCCGCAGTTGTTTTGAAACAGACGTCGCAAACTACAAGCCATTTAAAAGCGTGAAAGGTGGAGGGGGATAGGGGGTAAATCGGTTTCTGGGGAGGAGCAGATATGATCATAGGACTGCAGGTGGCCTGGTTTTGCTCCAAAACGTGCGATTTGTATTCTAATATTGTTCAACTAAAATATTTCTTAATTTTTAGGCACAGGAAAGATCTTCAGGGAGTCACTGCAACCCCAATCGCTTGACAAAATTGCAGAACTTGAAGGCCACGCTGCTCAAACCAGGTGAGAAAAAGCGAAGAGGGACAGCCTATTTCAAATCGAATATGCCTTGAATGTTTATGCGTGGTTTACTATTTTGAAGGACTCACACTGTGATGGAGGCAACGCGGCTGCAGCCACCAAAGTTCGTGACGCAACTGAACAGTATCACCAATCTGTCAGAAGGACAGAGTGCCCACTTCGAGTGCCAATTGGTGCCCGTGAATGATCCCGACTTGACAGTGGAATGGTATTTCAACGGACAACTTCTGCGGTCAGGTAAAAATAAAATTGGCTATTATAAGTTATCATCTTCTAGGTATCAGTCTCGTTCTCAACTCCGCTGCTGCATCGAGAGAATTACGTATGTCCTGCGATTAAGTTCGTGTTCTGGTGCTACTTGTATTCAGGTCATCGGTTCCGCACGTTCCATGATTTCGGCATTGTCATCCTGGACATTCTTTACTGCTATGGAGAAGACTCTGGCGAATGGGTCTGTAAGGCAACAAACAAGCTCGGGTCCGACGTCACGCGAGCCACGATTGCATGCAAATGTGAGTAGGCTATAACTACCTAATACACTCTGTTAGAAACATTTACACCATACGTTTTTTTTTACATTCGCTTCAATGTTTTCCCTTCTACTTGCACATGATTCAATGACACCTAAAATGTATGTCTCTTTTATTTCTTTTTATTGAACAGCCAAGAGCTCTTTGATTTTGACACCTCAACTACCACCGGAAATGGCATCCGGGACACAGAGCATCATCGCTCTGGAAGAAAGCCTCTACAGAACATCCGCAGCCATGGAGCCTGAGGTTCACGCTGAAGCTCCTCGCTTCACAGTTCCTCTCAGTAACGTTGACGATCTGAGGTGAATTTCAGTTTTGAAACTACAGATACATACCCAGGCATGCAGATTTATGTATAAAACATGGTGTCATGTCGTTTTAAACGTTTACTTCTGCTCTCAACAGAGAAGGCGATAATGCTCACCTGGAGGCACGACTGACGCCAACAGATGATCCTGACTTGACTGTGGAATGGTTCAAAAACAACATGCCACTTATGTCAGGTCTGTTCAAAGTTCTTTAGCATATGCGCCACGACCTAGGTTTGGGCCATGCGGAACAAGGCAACAATTTGTTGTTAGGAATGCTAGCCTTAATCATATACTTTTATTTTTTAAAGGAACAAGGATACGGACCATCAACGATTTCGGATTTGTGGTGTTGGAGATGAGTCCTGTATACCCTGAGGATTCTGGAGTATACTCCTGCCGCGCAAGGAACCGATTTGGAGAGGCTGTCACAACGTGCACCCTGAAATGCCAAGGCAAATTTTATTAGGACTATCTAGTTGTCCTAGATATAATGTACAAGCTAATGTTGTAAAACTCATCGGTTGGAGCTTCGAAACTAAAATATGGCTCTGATCGCTTTTTCTTCTCGTTTTCTCAGGAAAACGCAGTATCATTTTGGAAACTCAACTGCCTGAATCAATGACAACTGGTATTGAAAAGCTCGCCAAGTTCGAGGAGGTTTCTTCAGCCAGAATTGGGGAGACCTGGAGTGACAAAGAAATCTCTCAGCCACCCAAATTCGTGACCACACCCACAGATCTCACACTAGGAGAAAACTCTCTTGCTCATTTTGAGTGCAGGTAGGTGACGTCACCAGAAAGCGGCCCCATTTTAACAACAGCCGTTAGGTCGAAGATACCATGTAACACTTCGCGAAGTAATTAATTTTAATTTTGTTTCTTGTAGATTGACCCCTGTTGGAGACCCAACTCTAAGAGTTGACTGGTATCATAACGGCCGACCTCTTGTCACTGGTAATTATTCATTTTAGCATGAAATTTCATTAAGTTATTATCATTAAACATAACAAAAAATTGAGCCTCTGATTGACTTCTTTCTTCCAAAGGCTCCCGAGTGAAGACGATCAGCGATTTTGGCTACGTGATACTTGAGGTTGCCGGTGTCTACCCACGTGACTCCGGTGTTTACACCTGCAGAGCTGTAAACAAGGCTGGAGAAGCTTCGGTGTCCTGCAAGCTGGACGTGAAAGGTATCTTGAGCGGTTTATTGGCACATGCGTAATCTTAACATCATTGGGTTGCCATGTATCTGCCGCAATCCCTCAACTACTTGTCGGCACCAATGACTTCACGTTTCTGAATAGTTAAGGAATTATTGATACACCATCTGTATACTTATAGAGCGATTCTTAGATGCAAGGTACTTCTAATAATGTTGATAACAACGCGATTTGAGGATTTTCAGATCGCTCAGAACGGGAATGTTTAGTGCACTATCCTCATTTATTCTTTAATTTCCCTTTCAACAAACAGTACTAGAAGTGTGTATGATTGTGATCTGTGCATCTAGAGATTTTTTTTAAATTATACTTTTATGAAGGGCGCATTGTTGAGGGCAGTGTAATATTGAAATACGATTACCTAGGCATGCCACCGTAAGAGTTTTCTACTGGTTTTAAATCAACTTCGGATTGTGTTCGCCCTTTGAGCCATGGAGCTAATATAGGCATGTTTAATTGTACCATGCAGGAAAGCACTCAATCGTCATGGAGCCGCAGCTGCCGCACGAATTTCGATCCGGTTATGAAAGTATTCAGAAGCTGGAGGAATCGATGTATAGGACGGAGGATAAAATCTTCGACGATGACAAGAAGGAGCCGCCAAAGTTCCTGACACAGATCCAGTCCCTCCTTGACAAGGTGACTGAATTGAGAGATTATTACGTGCGACAAGTCTTGTGCGCGATATTTCCTAAGGAATGCTAATACCTGGATCACCATCTGTAGGTGGAAGGCGACAGCGCTCACTTTGAATGCAAACTTGTCCCAGTCGGAGATCCCAACATGAAAGTGGAATGGTTCCTCAACGGCCGCCCTCTGGTCACAGGTGTGTTGCGCATTACTTTTGTGTCATCTGAAACACTTTTACTGACATATTTTTAAACAAAACGTGCTTCTGTTTGATGTACACTTTATCGAGATTCAAAGTAGTTTACTTAGGTTAACCCGGTTTTTTCGCTGCACTGAATAGTAGAACAATTACTTTCGCTAATCCAAAATCGTATTAACGAAAAGAAGTTGACTGGAGAGGGTATTTTGTTAGTCGACTAGTGGTATGTGTGGACGACTGTTATCGTCAACCTCAAATATCTTCTATGCAGGCACTCGCGTGCACACCATCGACGACTTCGGGTTTGTGGTACTCGACATCGACTGGCTCTTCCCTCGTGACTCGGGAGAGTTCATGTGCCGGGCTACGAATCGCTGGGGCTCAGACACTACCAAGGCAACGCTCAAGATAAAAGGTGAGGAAATATTTTCTATGTCGCCTACTCGATTACGTGCTGGTGTACTGCCCCGTCTTTTTTAGTTTACTTTTCCTCGGTCTTGTTTATTCATCACTAATCAGCTTGTCAACCTTATTAGTTTCTTGTTTCTTTCATTTCCAAAAGTGCATGCTTGTAAGCAGAAAAAAAAAAACTAAAATGAGCTTGTTTTGTTTTAGCTAAAGAATGTTTAACAGTAGTTGATTTTGCTTTAAAGTCAAACTGCCTAAGGTACTGTGGGAAAGGTTGCTTTTTATCCTCTTATTTACTGTTATAATTATCCTTGCAGCCAAGAAGGATATTATCATGGATAGTCAGCTGCCAGAAGGAATGAGTATGGACAAGCTCCGTGATCTGGAATATCCGGTTGTACATGAGCAACCTCAGAAAGATGAAGAAGTGGTAATGCCGAGGTATGGAAAACGGTCTCGTCAACAATTCATGAAAATTATCATTTCACAACTCCCATCAGTAACCAGCGATAGAATTAAAAACCCTGAGGAAACGACTTTTTGCTTGCCTAATTGTAACTATGTTAAATGCTTGCAGATTCATAACCCAAATTCAACCACAAGAAAACCTTAACGAGGGTGACTCTGCACATTTCGAGTGCCGTTTAGAACCTGTCAACGACCCAAAGTTGAGGGTCGAGTGGTACCATAATGGACAACCCTTGCGATCAGGTAGGACGTTTCTGTTTTCATTTTCTTTTATTTTTCTAATTCTACCCGATTAGTGCACCTTTGGTTGTCCTCTTAAATTTCTTAAGCTGGTAGCCTTTAACGCATTTATTTACAATGTCATATCTGTTTTTTTAAAGGACATCGGTTCAAAACCACTCATGATTTCGGATTCGTCGCCTTGGACGTCCTGTACGTGTACCCTGAGGACTCTGGGACGTACGTTGCTCGTGCTGTCAACGACGTTGGCGAGGACAACACTCAGGCAACGCTCAAGTGCATCGGAAAACCGAGGCTGGACTACAGGTTAGAGCGGTACATTTTTTGCGCTTGCGATTCGAAAACTGTCGTGAATGATATGGCGCTCATTTGGCATTCATCTCTTTTGTTTCAATAGAACTCAACTGCCAAAGGATATGAAGGATGGTGTACGAAAGATTGCTGAGATGGAAGCTTCCTGGCAGCGGTACGTGTTAGAATCGTCTCTGCAGAACATTCTCCGCTTTGAGTGTTGTAAATTGCCAGTAGCTCTAACAATGCCTCTTCGTTTCAGCACGGAGTCACAAGAGGAAGTTCCGGAAGAACAGTGTGCTCCCCAGTTCATCATGAAACCTGAACCTCAAACTGTGGTGGAGGGAGAGTGGGCCAAATTCCAGTGCAGAGTCATGGGCCACCCGAAGCCAAGACTTATCTGGGTCCTGAACGGGCACACAGTTATATCTGTAAGAGTGCCTTCTATCTCTCTACTCTGCCTTGGAAATTGCAGGAGTCGTCTCGGAGCACTTAACATTATGGCCGTTTTCCTCGTCCAGGGTTCAAGGTATAAGCTGACCTACGACGGCATCTACCATCTCGACATACCCAAGAGCAGACAGTACGACCAGGGCAAGGTTGAGGTACGTCTTCTATAATGTGAATGAATATATTTCGGTCTTGTTCACCTGGTGACCTACGACAATATTATTTTTTCCTAAACAGGTATTTGCAAGAAACTTCTGCGGAGAGGCCTATTGCTTTACAACCCTTGAAGTTCGGCCCAAGCATGACGACTACCGAGCTGTTCTAAAGCACTCTCCTAGGCGTAAGTACAATTTGTTTTGTTCCAATCGCTCCCAGAGTGAGAATTATTCTGGGAGCGAAATATCGAAACAATGTGAACGGAATAAAATAATGTATATGTATTCGGCAGCCTGGTACGACCAAGACGTAAAGTCATACCAGAAGTACCGCCATGAGACCGAACTGCAGAGGGTATTCGAGGAGAAACTCACGCCAGGCGGCACCAAAATTGATGTCTGGAAAACTGAAGCAAGTACTGAGGGTAGGTCGTTCCAGTATTTTGGGTGTCCTTTTTCGCTTATTTTCAGATTTAGATTGTATGGTCATTCTTTGCGTGTGTGCGTTGCTCGCGTGCTCCTTGCTTACTCAATAAATGTCCATATCTTTACAGGAGAACACCAAAAGATAAAGCAGCGTCTCGAAGAGGAAGAGCTGGAAAAACTGAAGCCCAAAGTAGAACGATTCAAGACGGACTCCATTTATGTATGTTTAATCATAGTATATACTAGATAAATGAGTACGTTCTTCAAGGCAGGGATATTTATGTATTTAAGAACGTCGCCTTAAAAGCAATCTTTAAAACATTTATTCTGACAGTTATGCCGAGAGGACCCGGCTTTTTTATTTCTTGACATAAAGTAAGATTGGAACGAAGTAAAAGGGTCGGAGCCCTAGTGAAAAATCTTGTTTGTATAAGACATTTCTTGGTCCAATAAACAGATATTGTCAAATAATATCATATAATAACATATACGAACCATATAAGAACATATAAGAGCAATATAATATTATACAATAAGTTATGCAAATGTAATCAATGATACCACATGCTAATAGCCACTTGGTGACATCAGATAGCAAAAATCACACTATTTAATTCATAGTTTAATAACAACTGCCTAAAACTATAAAATTGTCGAGTTGTATGCTTATTGAGTTTTATAAAAGCTTGATATAAAATAAATAATAAACATTTTGACAATCCAAGTTTACATGTCCGAGTGAACAAGGTAGTCTTGTGTCAAGTCATTATAGGGCTGAATAGTTGGGTTGGTGCGAAAACATGGCGTGTCTTGCTTGTTCGTATTTCCAGTACGATGCCAGAACTGGGGAGAAGAAAGTGGAGACTGGAAGCCAGGCGCAATACATGGCCAAGTACTTCGAAACTGAAGCGTACGTTTGCAGCTTGTTCTTGTTATGACTACCATTTATCGACTAGAGACTACCGGTGCCGTGAAATTCGAACAACACGGTTCGAATACAATAACAGTGAGTTTTAAGACTCCGGTCCCACAGCCGTCATTGTCAATCGAGGACTTTTTAATTTTTTAAATATGTATTTAGGCGAATTAACCAACTTCTTTGTGGTTCTCTTTTATAGGCTATTTCTTATTATCTTCTAAATATGTCTCATTGCTATGAAGAAATGATTAAACGAGATAAGAAAATACTTTGCGAAATTGCAACCACCTCGAATAGTATTTCCTCTTCATCACGAACGGACGATTTCCAATTTGATTAGACATCGTTTGTTTTGATTATTACTGCAAGTAAAACCTTTTTTTTTAAAGATTTATTCTGATCTTCATTAAGGTATTTTATCCTGACCATGACGCCTTGCTCCGCTATTCTCATGAACTGCCTTATATTTTTGGCAGAGGTCAGATTCGTACTCTTCTTGTATTAGACTAAAAAAAAAATACAAAAACAAAATAAAATTGAAGATGGTTGCGATGGGCTAGTGCCTTCATAGAATATCAAGAAAACCCGAGTGCTCAAGCCATTTGACCCGCACCCGCGCTAATGACACCAAGGCAGAATTTTTGTACGTCCTCATGCTTCGGATTTGAGGCCATCCTGAAGGAGATGACAAAATCCTCTTTTCTTGGACGAAAGCCCAATGAAATTTAACGGGGCTCGTTTACCGCAGGGAAAAGCAGCAGCGCATCGGCACTGCTCCGGAATCCATGGTACAAGGTCGGGAGGTGCACGTGACGACTCAGAAACAGACCCAAAAAGAACAGCAGGGAGACTTGGAGATCACCCGGAAAAAGACGCTCACCGAAACTCTCGAACAGGAACACAAGGGAGTTACAAAGGAGAAGCGCGTTCAGGGTCCCGTGGTGAGTAAATGACGTCTGATTACTCTTTTTGATTACACAATGCCCCGCAAAGATTGTGTACAGCACTATCAAGGACGCAGGGAGAACGTAATCTTTCGAAATGTATCGTTTATACGAAGTTCTTTGTACCAAATTCTAGAGCTACGCACTATTCGTCTTCAATCACGAAAACACAACGTGGTACAAGGCTATTCCTCCCCATAAAACTAACCACGATTGGTAGCCGTCCACGCATCTCTAAATTCACGGGCCGAACAACACGGTTTTGTACGCTTATTTTTAAAGCAAGCTTCCTATTTTTTCTTCTTTTTGCAGCAAGAATCCAAGGCTCCGGTGTTCACCAAGAAAATCCAGCCCTGCAGGGTTGATGAAGGACAGGGAGCCAAGTTTCAGTGCACATTCACGGGCCAGCCTTCTCCCAAAATTACTTGGTTCAGGGAGAACTTCCCCATCCAGCCATCTCAAGACTTCCAAGTAAGTATCGTGCGCACAGAAATGTAATATTTTGTTCCGGATCATAAGCTATTCGTACGGATTGACTATCCGTATGAGGCTTTTTCCGACACAACACTGTGGCCTAAAATTGATGAGATTGCGTATTTGCCCGCCTCTAGGGTGGTTTCATAAATCGCCTTTTCACTTCAGGTAAGCTGTGCGCGGCCATGCTGGTGAATAGCTTCCGCCATTTTGCCCATTAGTTTGTTTGTGGACGATGAGCTATGGGCGTCGCTTTAGGTGTTAGTAAAACGCGGAAGAATGACGAGGTGGCTCCGTCGACGACAGAACGCAGGAAGTACGGTCGGTGACCTACTTAGGTCGCATAAGCTTCTTCTTCGGGACGAGTCCACTACTCAAGAGCCGGCTTCACTCCAAATCGAGAAACAGAACACTCCTTTATGTCGTCGACTACTCCGCAAGGCGCAGTCAATCAAGATCAAAGAGATCTCGAGCGAGCTTGCAAACACTGCCTACGCGCATGGAGACAGGTAGGGCGAGAATTTCCAGCATGAACTTCGGCCATATTTGGAGCTGAAAATAAGTTATGCAAAACCACCCTATAGGCCACACCTGTTTATGAAAGAAGGTCACGGTAGTCCACTGCGCGAAAGTCAATGACGTCAATTTACGGAACGAGGCTCACGAACGAACTTAGGGTGGGGATTCGTGTCGGACCGAATGTGTGAGCACGCACCTCAGCTCGTGACATGGGAAACAAAAGCTCGCGCTGCAAAACCCAGGGATCCTTGGTTCAGTCCCCACCCGTGCCCGTTTTGGTCTGGATGAGTACCGTACCGGCGTGCAGATGTGTATCGCTACTACGCGATGCACGTTACAGACCCCAGGCTAGCAGTGGTACTACAGTGGCTGAATTTTTTATCCACAGCGGAGAGACAAGGAGCCCTTTGAGGCAGAGTAACATCCAACTGTTTAAACAGCTAGGGCTGGGCGTCAATTAAGATTTTTAACCCGATTAAACGCTGCCCTTTAATCGATTAATCGGTCTCGTTAATTTCAATACATACTACTTTTTTAAAGTATATTTTTTATTTTGCTTTTGTCTTTGTGTGATATACATGTGATATATGTGATAAACAACCAATATAGGATTTCGATTATGAATCAACCTTGATGTGTAGTTAAGAACAGTTCAAAGACACACACACTCGCAGAATATTACTTATGCTGCATGAGGCAAACAGGTTCGTTGATATTATCCGGGAATAGCGACCTCCTTTGATTGTTCACAATAGTCTTCGCTGAACTAAACGGACACTCGCACGGCATTGAAGTGGCCGGGACACGTGTAACATTCAACCATTGTCTGTAGTTACAAATGTCTCCCCTACAGTTTACTTTAGATTAAAATTTTACCTAACGTCTGCCCTTCTTACTAATGTACTCGTCCACGTCTGCGTGGTGAAAGCGTTTAATTTTTACTTTATTGTGGTTCGTCAAAACTTCACCGAATATTCCAGTTAGAAAAATTAATCGCAATTAAAGCATTAATCGATTAATCGGTAGGTTAATCGATCAATTGCGCAGCCAACACACATAATTCTGCGCATGTTTCGAGTCCAAAAGTTAGCTGTGCCTCCTTACTGAATGAAGGCACAGCTAAGAATCGTAACAGTTGGTTCTGGCCTGCTACGCGAAAAAGCAAACGCGCAGGGCCTCTTCAAACACGAGGGCAGGTTGTATACGCGAGTATCATACCGTGTTAGGGAAATTCAGAGTCACCGTAAACGTATTCTTTGATGTCAGAAATCAATACATTGTTTCGTTTTTCTATATTTTTGGTAGATTGTGACGACGGATACCACGTCCACCCTGATTATCCGAGAGGTTTATCTGGAGGATTCCGGAGTGTTCTCCGTGAAAGCCGAAAACCGCGGAGGATCTGCTAAGTCGTCGGCCAACCTCGTCGTTGAAGGTGCGTCTCCATTTCGCCTGCTGCACTTATTTTTCAAACAATGCCGTCGTTCCCTCATAACAATCTGACCGATCTATTACTTGTATTTCACCGAACAGAACGTCGTGAGCAGCGTAGTGGAGTGGCACCACCCAACTTCACGAAGACCATCCAGGACGTGTCAGTGAAAGCTGGAAAGTTGGTTCGTCTGGACGCCAAGGTGTCAGGATCCAAGCCATTTGATGTTTACTGGCTCAAGGTAAGGAACTACGGCTGTGTTCGTTCCTATCATACGCTTTGTAGTTGTCCGCCGGTACAGGAGCGTCCGCAGTTGCACTGCAAAAAGTCGTTTTTTTACAGAACGGTAAGAAGGTGACTCCGGATGTCTCTCATAAGATCATCGAGGAAGAGAACCAGTACACCTTGCTTATCCTGGAAGCGCAAGTCGAATCTGATTCCGGCAGTTACGAGTGTGTGGCGATCAATTCTGCTGGAGAAGCCCGCTGTCAAGCTCACGTATTAGTAGAAGGTGATTACCTGCGCGATTGAAAACACACATATTTCTTGGTATTTCTCTGTTAAGTGTGGTTTGTTCTTTTCATACAACTTTTCATGATTCTAGGTGCCAAACCAAAGACACCACCGACAAGCCCTAAAGATGCACCCGGAGGAGATGCCAAGCCGCCAACTGTCACGGAGCCCCTGAAACCACTTGCCGTCAAGGAGGGACAGAGCGCCGTGTTTCGGTGCAAAATTCCAGCCGTACCAGGTAAGACTCTCGTGACTAAATATATAAAAAAATTCCAAGTAAATCCGATCACTTTTTCAAAATTCGTTAACTATACTAAAGGACATTACGGTTCGTTTTTCTGCGTACTAACACACAATGAACTGCAAGATTAAATGCGTTACACAACATATTATATGTGTATCATTGCTATTTTTCGTTCATAGGAGCTCAAGTGAAGTGGTACAGAGGAGACCAACTAGTCAAGCAATCCCGATACTTCAGGATGTCACAGGAGAATAATTTGTTTACCCTCAAGATCTCCGAGGCTTTCCCCGAAGACGAAGGAGAATACAAATGTGTCGCCACAAATCCAGCAGGAACCGTTTCCACAAGTGCCAATCTCAAAGTCATCGGTGAGTGACAATAACCCCCTCTTTATGTAAGGAAACTCAGTAAACACGACTTACTTGTTAGCTGTCTATAGCTTTGGTACTGGCTGAGGCGTGTGGGTAACTTGAGAATGTCTTTCTTGGGGTTTCAGTGCCTGAGCTGAACGAAGTGCCTCCGTCGGTGACTCCCCTGGCCGACCTGACTGTGCCTGAAGGATCGCCAGCTCGATTTGTAACATCCCTGGGTGGGGTGCCGCCTCCCAAGGTCATCTGGGTCCGGGAGGGACACGTCATCAAGCAGTCCCGCGACTTCCAGGTAAATAGTAAACGCGTATAGCTTCTTTCTCGCCGTCGGCGCCTCTTATTTGCTTAAAATAAGCGTCTGCAGTAGGAACACGCCTTTCGCATTCAAAGGATGAGCACAGGCGAGCTTGTGAGCATGATGAGACCTAAATTTCGATACGAAGGCAGACAGTGTTGTGTGTGCGTTATTTAATTGTCCCGGTGTTTAATATTGCGAATTTGGTTTCCAGTAATGTGTATCGTAGAGCCTATCGCATCATTTCCCACTTTGACAGACCCTGTCACGTTTGATCATCTAAGGTATCTTTAAGCAAATACACGAGTTATTCCTCGTTTATTAAATTGTAATGAAATACACAAGGAAACTGACATCTCATATAAGCAAATTATTGAAATAATTGAATTATAAGGATATTGCGGTGATATTTAACCACTAATTTATACGTCTAGTGTTCAGTTCTTTCAGGGAGTATTATACGGCTACTGACGCTGAAATCAATACAATTTAGAATTATACTCGCACATCTATAAATATTACTAGCCTTCCTTTATAAAGAATACGGCATGATGGACTTTATGACAAAAATGAATGACAAAAACTTTGCAGTCATTTTATCTGCGGATTGTATGCTCTGAAGGTTCGATAGAAGAGCAGACGCACGTTGATAGAAAGGGAAGTAGATTTTAGATGAGAAACTTGCCTCATTCTGAACTTTTTTTTAAGGCGCCTTATGCCTCGTTTCGCTTGAGGACTCGCGCCAGTCGTAGCGCCTGAGGACTTCATATTCTCGAGAAGGAACGAATACTGTAACCGACTTATTTTTCGCGGGCTCAATATTTCGTCATTTAGGTCAAAGCTGAAGTTTTGGAATAATTCGCGGGTTCCAATTTTCGCGACGCGGTGGGATCTCAATATAGATTCCAATGTGTTTACATCATACCAAAATTGTTCGCGGGACCTTATTTACGCGAATCGCAGGCGATTTGCGATATTCGCGAAAATTAGGTCCTCGCAAAAATGAAGTCGTTTACAGTATGCTTCTTTGATTCAAGTTAAATTAAATTTCCTGGAGAGTTTTTTTTTTATTATTCTTTAGGTGTACATTTTATTCTTCAATAAAGCATATACGAAGTAACCTTGATGGGAGTGACCCTTTATTCCGCTATTTAATGGTGCGGTGAATATGTTTTTACTTAAAGCACTAACTTGATCTACATGTTAAAATATTCACCCTCCACGCCCAGAACGAGGGGAAGTCAGATCTATGTTTTATCGTGTTTTGTTCTTTTAGGGGAACACGTGGTGCTCATACAAACTGCATAAAGTTGTTGAGCACTTCAGGAGCGCAAAGATGAAGTTAACTGTTTAAAAAAAAATTCAAATTAAGTTTGTAATTAGCGCGTTCGTAAAAGTAAGTTATACCTAAGAAAAATGAACAAGAAATAAAAAGGTACACGTGTTTACAGTTGTGACCAGGGCACTGGAAAGAGGCGTACTCCCTCGAACGCTCTCAGTGACCTTTAGTGTGGACTACTCCATAAGCCGATGCTGCCTTTTTACAAACCCTGTTCATTTTTCATATCTCCTGTGCCTTTGTTAGTGAGCTTGCAATCTCAAAGTGGACTTTACTTTTACAGATGACCCAGGATCAGGGGTCAGCATCCCTGGTCATCAGGCATACTTATCCCGAGGACGAAGGCGTCTACACCTGCCGTGCTACCAACGCTTCCGGTCAAGCCGAGACCTCAGCCCGACTTACCGTGCAACGTAAGGCCAAAAAGTAGAGGCTCGTGCACATGGTGTGTCGTCCAGCCAAGATGGAACGGGAATTGGACGCAAATGTTTTTCACCAAAACCATTAGGCAGCGAGAGAATGAAACCAGCTTCGTGAACTTGTTTTTCTTTCAGTTTGTTTTAGATCGCGTTCGTCAGTTACGCTTTGTTTGTGAATCAGTCAGAAGCTTTTATTTCTAGGAACTGTTTACGTTTGAATATCGAGACTCGTGAGAAAAAAAAAAGTTTTTATTTTTATTTACGCAGTTTTTGAACCAAACACAACTGACATATTTTGATTCTCGGTATGTACGATTTGTTTAACGTTACCGCGTTGTCTTAGGCTGCATTAGTAAACATTTTGTAAAGATCGTTTTTACACAAAGAAAACACCTTATGTTTCTCCCGTCCTTTTTTGATACTTTTGAGCATTCGTGAATGTACGTAATGCGATCTCTTCTCTAATTTATTTTTCACTCTTCTAACCATGGGCGTGCAGATTTTTTTTCTTACTTACACTTTTTACTTATTTTAAGCAATCTTAAATTAATCCACATGACATTCTGTTATTTCTTTTCTTCTTTTGCTATTTGGAATTGTATTGTGGCGTAGCTCCAGAGACTTTATTTAATATTGTAAGGAACCGTGAATGTTTTATTTTAATGATCACTTATTCGCATTTTTTTAATTAAAGAGGTTCCTTTGACGTCACTTGCTTTCAGGTACCCTTTTAGAGTTCATATATCTAATATATTATTCTGGTAGACAGGGCTTTTCGAATAGCGCAATAATCGCGAGCGCCTTCGGTAAACTTATTGATCTACACTGCCAGCGCTGTTGCTTTGTGATAATTTTAGTTCTAAATAATGTTATTGTATGACGTCTCTATAAACTATTCGTTAAGACTAGACAGTCTGTGCCATAGCGTAAATAGGAATTGTGTCACTTGTCGCTATTTGTTCCGAAGGCATACGAACTCAATATCTTTGTCCGGAATTTTATTCTATACGCTATCGGGAATTTCTTGAAACGTGTATTATAAATTGGAGAAAAAGCACAAAAACTTGTAATAATTGCTTGTGGAATTTCAATAAAATCAAGTTACAAAACATGTTGTGTCTGATTTAGGCTTGCTCTCTCAGACTCACACTTTTTTACAAACTCTCGGACGTTTGCATGCTTTATTTCTATAATTATCCTTATCAACTAATTTATTTATTTTGACATCTATTTGCGAGTCAATTAACCTTTTTTTCTAATAAAACCCAATTGCAAAAATCACTTCATTTTTGTTGTTTTCATTCTGAAGCATGCAAAGACAGTAAAGGCGGCCTAAAAGTGTGAGGGAGGTGGGCCTACATCTGACACAGAATCATCACTTCCAAAGTTCACTGAAACTTCCTGTGAAACTTTGTAAGTGAGAATAGCATTAAAGATTCCACGTTAAGCATTTCAATGCATCTCTCAAGGCCTGTCTGACGACGAATGCTGTTTAATTTCCAAGTCTTGCACGCTTTTAGGCCCCTCCTTCGTCATACCTTTCGTGTTGACTGCGAAGAACCGAGTGTTTCGTAAACAGAGAAAGGCACTGGAATAATACAATTACTAGCTAACCATTTAAGAGGCAGAAATAGTTTCACGATTCCTGCACTGCATGCACTGTTGTACCATACATGAGTAGACCACGCTGAGCTTATAAGGTGTTGCTTTACGCAACCTGGGTCTCATAGGATCGTGAGGCTGCCATAATTTACAAACTTTTTACGAAGTCACAAAGAATATACTAAAACCATTAATACTGTCCGGTTCACCTAATAACTGCACTTCTAATTGATAAAATAGTTGGCTAAACAACATAAGGTTTTCCCGCGTGGTCAGTCTTCAACTGAGGGATTTCATAATGAACGAGACCATTTATTTTTCCGGATCCAGGAACGAGCAAAGTAAGTGCACTTTCGTTCACAGCATATTCTTATCTCAGACTGCAAGACTTTGAAATTAATAAAAAAGGCTCTTATGAATCATCTTTGTAAACTGAACCCTGAGTGCGCTTCGAAAAAAAATTAAAGATGTGCTTGATGGCGAAATAAATGCCCTGGAGGCAATTCAGTGAGAAAGAAATTCACAAATAACGCGCCAGTATTTCAAACGCGCCGAGTTTCTTTCGTACAAGGGACAGAATAATACTTTCTAAGTAACCCAAGTACAGTGGTTTCAAAAAGAAACAAAACCCCATCTTTACATCAACTTCAATTAATGCATGCAAGTACTTTTATTCACGGAGAAAACTCCGGGGAACAGTACTGATTATTGGACATTTGACGTCCGTAGATGAATAGTATATTTGTGCCATCATTCAACTATATTCCGCCTCACCTCATCGCGGACTAGAGGGAAAGCTATGAGCACGACAGTTTTGCCTTTGATAGTGCCATGGATACACAAAGGTTCGTGCAACGGGACAACCAGTTAAAACCCCACGCTCTCGCTTCTAGCCTTTGTGGTAAACCAGGCTAAGGTGAAACTTAAGCCGTCTTGAGAACGAAATTGGCTCATCGAGGCAGACCGAATATTCAAATAAGGTTAGGTCATGTACGAGGAGCCTTTCGGTGTGAGCAAGTCACACAATGCTAAAAATATAATGTTGACAAAACGCAAAGCAGCTTATGTTTGTGCTTTCAACTTTAAGCAGCCAAATCTGAACAACTCTAGTGGGACTAACTCTAGTGGCACTAAATATAGTTGTTGAAAACTTAGGAACAATAAGATGTGTCTAGATATGACGGCGTTCGTCGCTTCCCGATCAGTTTCTGATTATTATTATTATCGGCTGATATATTTCCTAGTGACAAATAGTTTATTGGGGCCCTGCATGCCCACACGTTCCTGTTCTCCAGCTGCCAACGGTCGCTAGATTATGTCGGAGATAATCTTCACCCACAAAAACCGACGGTGAGTTCGTTTAAGCGAGCCGTGACTCGGGGGGGGGGGGGGGGGGGGGGGGGGGGAGTCAAGTCAAGCAAGTATCATTACCGGCGTAATTTTAACCCGAACGTTTTGCTGTGACATTTAAGGACTATTTTTTGTCGACGTCCATGTTTTTATATACGTTTAAAACTAATTAAGATATTTTTTGGATGTGACCGTCTACTTCCCTCGACCTGCCAACAACTTTTGCTGTAGCATTACTGCAATTCAAACTATCTGTGTATAAAGATAAAAGTCGAAGCTACCTGCTTCCGTCACTTACAATAAGATCCGATAAAGCTCATCTCCTCACGATTTCTTCAGTTACCACAACGGGTTCCTCGCAATTCAAGAGCACTTAGAACTCAAGACGCTACACGCAGCCTTGGAAGAAGCAGAACCCTAGTACTTTACTAGGAGGATACATTCTACTTGACTGATTTGCATGAGACAGCACTCCTTCAACTCCAAATCCCCTTCGAGTGGTTTGAAAACTTCCCTCGTCCGAGGGAACGCCTGCGCACCACGCTATCGTGCTTTCGCGCTGCACCAAGGGAGGGGGCTGCCGCCGACGTGCGAAGATACCAAATTCGCCAAGACGGCAGAAACGGCTGTCTCGACGGGTTTTCACAATGATAGCAGGGGCGGATCGAGGGGGGGGGGGGGGGGGGGGGGGGGGGGGGGAGGAGGCGACGGGGGCGGCCGACTCCCCCAAACAAAGTCGACCCCCCCTCCCTCCCCCCTTTCCGGAGGGCAATTTGACATGGGTGAACACCCCGTGCACAAGAAAGAATGAGAGAAAAGTATGCTTGGAAATTTTCCGCCCCCCCCCCCCCCCCCAAAAAAAAAGAAAAAAAAAAAAACAAAAAAAGAAAACGGAGTTCTGGATCCGCCCCTGAATGATAGATGGCGGCAGCCCAATTCAAAGGGGAAAACCCTGAGACTGTGCGCGTCCAGTCGTTCCAACTACGCAAACGCTGTCAGCGCTGCGCCTTGGTTTTACACTGTCGCGTACTTTGTGCATACAGGAGAAACAAAACCACGAGCATACGCACCGTTGCCATCGTAAGGCCTGCTTCAGATTTATTGAAATGGGATTATCCCAGGCATTTCGGTATTGGTGTCGAGTCGTTCCCTAGCTTTCCCTAGATGATTGCGCTGCAACACGAATTGCTGGGATGAAGTCCGGCTCGAAACGGGCGAGCAACTTGGACGACTCGAAGAGGTTTGAAGCGGCAGGAGCCAATCAGGGTCACGATATTTTCACGTGACACCCTCGTGGTTGCGATGATGACAACTAAAGACGGAGTTTAACTTGGTTCTGGTTTGAAATGGCTCGTTTTTGGAAATAAATGGTTTCAGAAAGATGAGATAGTATTCTAAACTCCATTTAAAGATGTAAGAACGCGTTTATAGTGCGTAACTGTGTGTCTAACTAGTGCAAAATAATTAAAATTTATTGATGATGATGGAAACTCGTGGCGATTCGGTTGCTGCGTGTGAACGCGGGGGCACATGTTGCTGGTGTTGTGACGTCAAGTTTCTGGGAGAAATTGCCCCGTCTGAAGCGGGCCTAAGAGAAGCACGCGTCAAGTCAACAATTGCGCGTCATTGGAAACGTGCGAGAAAACTCTTTCCCTCTTGTGAGAGGGAAAGTGGGCGAGCGAGCGAACGAAGCGAAAGAACACGGAGACAACCACGCCGCGGTCTCATCAAACCAGTCCAGCAGTCTAAACTAAAGACGGCCGCATGCACCAGGGCAATACATACTAACGCATTTAGTATTTGCAGAACCCGTAAAAACTTCTAATTAAAGCAGACTTCTCACGCACTCCCCCCTGAATAGATGTGAGCTTGTATTGTCCATTCTGATAAACTCGGTAAGCACACGAGTGTGTCGTGTGTTCAACGCATCCGAAACCACCCAAAGCTTCCCATAGCCAAGCATATAAAGCGTGCGCAGTGAACGCACGACACCTTCTGTGCTCTCTGGGCTTATCACAATGATCGAGGCAAGTTTATTTTTG